GATAGACGTCAAAGCCACTACATGCAGCTAGGGCGCTATCTAATTTCGCGTCTCTCGCGCGCCTCGCTTGACGTCGTTGTACATGGATGCACGCCAAGCTCACTACAGACATGTTTGCTGACCGGACAGCAGAACAGGGCAGAAAACAAAGTCCTTCAGCTTTCAGCCTCGTGGCCAACTCAGCAGCTGGGTAGCACTGGGCTTTTTCTCACACGCCCTGTGTAGCGTTGATTTGCAGCATTTTCGCCTGGAAGCATAGATTCATTGATTTGATTGGTATCGGATGACATCACGCTTCGGCTTAGCAAAGGCTGCCCTTTCTCGGTAACGGGAGGGGGACGCGACATATCGGATTGCGCGCAGTGCCTTTCGCATCATCTTTCCTTGTCGTCAAGTCGTCGCTCAACCCACACCCCACTGCGACAAGGCTATCATGGCCCCGATACGGTAGACGGGAGCGCCTTGTTCGCTTTCCTAGTCTCCTTCCTCTTCAACTCGTGTTCGCTTCTTTGTCGCAACCTCGTTGTTTGCATTTCACAACCTTCTTCGTCGCTTCCTGCCTCGTCGTACGTCTACAAGGCCCGCGCAACGCGTCGCGCCCGCACATCGCAACTGCCTCGACGGCTCCTTCCCTCCCAGCTGAGGCAAGCACGGCCGCCTGATTTCACCAGAACCGTCTCCCCATTCACTTTCATATTCACCTCGCCGCAGCACCGACAGCGCCTCTCCTACTTAACTCGCCCTGCGCCGCACTGCTGGCGCTTTACACCCCCACCACCACGTCCCTTGCCGCAACTGCCGACCCGCTTCCTTCGCATACTTTACGACGGTAGCGCCTAGCCCAAGATGGCGTCGCACGGAATGAGCCTTCAAGACAATATTCAGATGATCGAAGAGGTCCTTCCAGGCATCGATCCTGTTGATCAGCCGGTCTATGAGAACATGTTGCGGACGCTGTACCAGCAGCTGTCGGATGAGCAGCGCCAAAGCGAGATCGATGCACAGGTTACGGCCATCACAGGAAATGGCTTCCAGCCCAACAACGGCAACAACGCCATGACCGCACATGACCAGGCCTTTTCAAACGAGGATGGTGACTGGACACATACCAACGGAAACAACCACACAAGCTACTATAGCGGCCCGTCATACACCAACGGTTCGTCATATAGTATGCAAGTACCGCCCTCGCCGCCTCTGCCTGAACCACAACATAGCCGCAAGCGCAGCCTCGGGATAACCGACTACCCCGAAGCCAAGCGTGTCAGTGGGCAGCCTAGTCCGGTAACTCCAACTTCACCCGTTGGTCCATGGTCACAATCGCTTCCTAGTCGCGATGCTGCTTGGGTTCGTTACTCTGACCCTATGGATGTTGTCGACCTGACTGAATCGAATCCACCTTCGCCTGCTGGTTACGAGCTTCCTGTCCATGTACATGCGCAACAAGATCCCGCCCCACACTATATGGACCCATTCCCGGAGCTCGACAACTATCAGAGAGGACGTGACAATGGCGCCATGCTACCAGCGGATGCGTTCAACCAGGAGTTCATGGCCCCAGAAGAGCTGGCTGAGTTTCTGATCGCGCCCAGTGCACCAGGTAGTCATTTCGCTGTGCCGCAGACTTTCCCCTATCAGCCACGTGATGAAGCAGGCTATCTTTACATGCGAGGAGGCAGCAGCGACGGAGATGAGTATGGCCGTTTCCCGCTCAATGTCAATGAGGCGGAAGACATTGAGAAGCTCTTGCAGAGCATCAATGATGTTGATGAGGAGGACAAAGAAAAGCGAGAGCCCACCCCCAAGACCATGACTTGTACTCTGAAGGAATATCAGCGTATAGGTCTCACATGGCTACTCAATAAGGAGCGCAGCGCGACTAAAGGCAGTATCCTGGCAGATGATATGGGTCTAGGCAAAACCATCCAGGCTCTGGCCCTCATTTGCGCGAATCCGCCCATGGATCCCGCCTGCAAGACTACACTCATCATCGCGCCTGTTGCTCTTATGCGACAATGGGAGAAGGAGATTGAGCGTCATATCCATCCTCGCCATAAGCTCAAGGTTCACCTCTATCATGGCAGTGGTAAGAACGTTGATTTCGCTCGTCTTCGCCAGTGTGATGTTGTCCTCACCACCTTCGGTTCCCTCACTTCTGAATACAAGCAAAAGGAGTCTTCCAAAGAGGCGATGGCCAATGACCAAGAGCTTCGCAACCCTAGCATGCGCCGTAAGGCCAAGGATAGACTCGCACTGCTGGGACAAGAGTGCATGTGGTATCGTATCATTATCGACGAGGCCCACAATATTAAGAACCGGAACTCCAAGGCGTCCAAGGCTTGCGCTGATCTCATGGCTAAACACCGCTTGTGCATGACTGGTACACCCATGATGAATAGCGTTGACGAGCTTTTTCCCCTTCTTCGCTTCTTGAGGGTATCGCCATATACTACATGGACCAAGTACAGCATGGACATTTCAAAGGCAAGTACAGGTTACTCTGACCATTGGGTAGGATCTTTTACTAACGAACTCTAGGGTTACAAGAGCACTCAGCCGGGAGCACGGACCCGTGCACAGAACCGTCTTCATATCGTAATCAAGGGTACCATGCTCCGGCGTCGGAAAGACGCTGTCGTTGATGGGCAGCCTGTTTCCAAGATTCCTCCCAAGCACTCTGCCATCGACAGTGTGGAGTTTGAAGACGAAGAACATGCCCTCTACAAGGCTCTAGAAACCAAGTCGCAGCTTCAGATGAACAAATTTCTCGAGAGGGGTACTGTCACAAGCAACTATGCTAACGTTTTGGTTCTCCTGCTTCGCCTCCGCCAAGCATGCTGTCATCCGCATCTCATCAAAGACCTCAGTCAACCAGCAACCGAGGCTATCGCTGAAGATGACCTCTTGAGCCGTGCTGGGGAATTGAGTTATGAGGTCGTCGTGCGACTGAAGGCGAACGAGTCTTTCGATTGCCCGATTTGCCTTGATCTCGATCCAAATCCAACAATCCTCATTCCATGTGGACATACAGTGTGCGGTGAGTGTGTCCAGAAGATCATGGATCCGGCCATGCGAACCGCTCAAGATGGCAACGATGAGGCTAACCCGGCCCTGTGCCCACACTGCCGTGGCAATATCAGTGCCAAGCTGATCACGGACTACAAGCACTTCTGCAAGGTTCACTGCCCCGAGCGGCTTGGATCAGTCGACTTGTCAGAACAAGAGGAGGGCGATGTTCAAGAAGACGACTCTGATTCTGACATCTCTGAAGACGAGGAGGATGCAGTAGATGTTGACAGGAAGGGCAATCTTGCTGGCTTCGTCGTTGGCGATGATGAGGATGACGAATACGTTGCCGATGAGGCGGAAGACGACGACGACAACCTTGGCTCCGCATCTGTGGCCAAGTCCAAGGCGAAGTCAAAGTCAAAGGCAAAGGCAATGAAGTCTGGCAAACGAAACAAAGGCAAGGGCAAGGGACGCGCCAAACCTAAGCTTACCCTTGCTCAGCTCAAGAAAGAGTCTCTCCGCAACAAGAGCGCCAAGAAGCGTTACCTGCGTCGCCTGGACAAGACCTTCATTCCGTCTGCGAAGATCAGCAGGACTGTTGAGCTGCTCAAAGAGATCAAAGAGAACGACCCGACTGAGAAGACGCTGGTTTTCTCTCAGTTCACTTCCTTGCTCGATCTCGTCGAAGTACCTCTACACCGAGAGAAATTGGCCTACCAGCGCTACGACGGCAGCATGAAGATGGACGAGCGCGCCGACGCCGTAAACGCCTTCATGGATGACCCAAGCGAAAATGTTATGCTCGTCTCTCTCAAAGCTGGCAACGCGGGTCTCAATCTCTGGAAAGCATCTCAGGTCATCATTCTCGATCCTTTCTGGAACCCCTTCATCGAAGAACAGGCTATCGACCGCGCCCATCGCATGCCCCAGGAGCGTGAGGTATATGTGCATCGCATCATTGTGCCGGAGACCGTAGAAGACCGCATCATTGCTATCCAGGATAGGAAGCGTGAGCAGATTGATGCGGCGCTGGATGAGAATGCTTCGAAGAGTCTTACCAAGCTCAGCGTGTCGGAGCTCAAGTATTTGTTTGGTATGGGTGGTGGCTAGTGTTCGCAAGAAAGCTGCGGGCCTCCTCCCTGTTTACACAGCGTTCGCGCTATGATTTCCTTTCGCTTTTTTCATCTTCCGTCTATCGTCTTTTCACCACACATGTTCTTTTCCTACAACATCTGTTCTCCACCCGCATATTTAGACGCGCAAACACGTGTTTTCGCATTTTTGATACCCGATCTCGAATGATCAAGGCTTTACCTTCTCTTCTCGGGGAAATATACATTGGCGTACGATATGATATGGGTATCTGGCGTTTGATTTCTTCTATGTATTTCATGACGTATATGGAATGCTCTTCTCTGTCGCGAGCGGAAGGAAGGGGAAGGGAAGTTAGCAAGATATAGCGTAATACAGTGTTTCAAACGATGAGTTTGAGTGAGATACAAGAAGCATTGCAATGTCATGACTGCCGTTGGTTCGATCTCAGATAACGGTGGTGAGTGTCGCACTTGCCCTCCAAGTCACCGGCGCCCTTGGTATGCAGCAACGGAAAGAGCGAGTCCGAGACCAGTTGCGTCAGGCAAGTAAACAGAACGCTAGCTCGACCTTCGTGATGTTACGTTCCACACGGCATCGCTTCCACACCTTCCACGCCGTCCATCCTTTTGTCTCATCGCTACAAGGACCAGCTTCTTCTACTTCCTCTACGTCCTCCGCCTCCGCCTCCGCCTCCGCCGCCCTGCTTGCGCTTACCTGCAGGCAGTCGAAGCTGGCCGTCTCATATTCATTCCGCATCTCACCCTCTAAGCCGTTTTCTCACTTCAATCCTCTAACAACTCGATCGGCAAGCTTTAAATCAGCGCATAACTGCCGTCTTAAGTATCCGCGCGAAGTCGCCGTTCAGGATCAGTCCAAACAATTGCTCACTCAACAACATGACCAAGTGTGAGAACAATGTCTCGAAGGCATCGAGCGCGGGCTCAAAGACAACGAAGGCACCGGAGCGCAAGAAGCTTGGAATGCGGACGACGTCTGACAGACTTCCTTGGCTCAACACCAAGACTTCGCAGGCCGTGGCTGCAACGTTCACGGATGGTCAGAACAGCACAACTGTGGAAAGCCCGTGCAGCTCGCCTGTAAATGGTCACGAGAGCCCCAAACCGTCTCCATCATCAAGCACTCGACCTAGCGGCAAGGTAACTGTCGCGGCCACTATTCAGCCTATTATCACGACCAGACCAATGACACGAAGAAATTCATCGGTACCAGCAGGCGAACGTCGAGCTCCATCAACAGCTACTAGTAGCCCATCTCCAGTAACGAGACATCGCCTCTCTCAGACACGTCGATCTTCTTTGGCGACTAACACAGTAACTTCGTTGAGGCCGGCACATCGAACGTCCACATCGCAGTCACATGAACCTCAAAAGAGGCTTTCTGTTGTAAACATCAAACAAGAGGATGACGAGCTGGGAGTCAACCATTTCCACGATGCTCGCCCTCGCGCTGACAGTCTCGCGCCGGTCCCGAATCATCTTCAGCAGTCCAGCACATCAGACTGCACCAGCACGCCTCCGGCAGTCATCTCTAGAGTTACAATATCTCCTACGCAGCCAGCACCAGTCCGCGTCACCTTTGAGCGGGCAGCAAAACGAAAGATAAGCAACGCAGTAGAGGACTTGGAAGATATGGTACAGGAAGCTGCCGCGGTTGCAGAGATTGCCGATGATCGGGGCCAAATGGAAGAACTGTACACGATTATCGAGGGGGCGAGAGACGCCGTACACGACGCTACCACCGAACCGGAATATCTCATGACGACTGCTCTTCCTCTGAAGGTGTCTGAATCTTCTAGCTCGCCTTCTCGCACTCACAACATACCACCGGTTGTCGTTGATCGGACTAATCTAGATGATATCGCCCCCGACGTCCGCCTGCATGCTGACCTACCAAGAGCCTCAGTGTCTTACGACCGGGCCTACTCGGATCAGAATACGCGAAAAGAAAGCAGTTCTTTTACGTCGTCATGTTCGTTCGGCGACCGCAAAAGCGAACGAGACCACCTCCATGCCGATCTGCTTCTGCCCAAGCTCGCTCAGCCAGCTCCGAGAGAACATGTTGATTTTGTCCTTCGTCCTGTGGGTCAAGATGAGTCTCGCGGTCGCTCTCGCCGACGTCACTACGGTGATTCCACAAGGCATCGACATCGGCGCCACCACAGCCCAGAGCTTGTTTGTCGACCTAAGCCCCGGCCCGAGCCAAGAGATTCAGGCTTCGGGGAAACTGAGTGCTCATTCGACGAGGATGATGTACCATCGAAACCATATGGCGGCGAACTCACGGTACGGGAACAGGCACATCATCATACGTTCAGTCTTCACCGTCACCACCATAGACAACCAATCGCGAGGAACTGGTCTACGGGCAAGAAGCGTCTGACTGCGAGTGTTGCATGTATCAACACAGCTTTACTTGGAATCATCGTTGGTATCTACGCCGGTGAGGTACCTCGCATTCAGTACTCTCTGGCGGACGAACGTCATATTACGATTATTGGCAATGCGGTACTCTACGCTGGACTTGCTATCTCGACTTTCTTTGCTTGGACATTACCTCTCTTACACGGACGCAAGCCCTATATTCTCGCTTCTCTAGCCATTGCCTTGCCACTTCAGTTCCCTCAAGCTATTGTTGTAAGCGGATACCACAATAAAGAGGCAAAGTACCGTGTTGGGCTCTTGCTGTCGCGTGGTGTATCTGGTCTCGTCCTCGGTTTCGCAAACGTCAATTACATTACTGTACTGCTTGACCTCTTCGGCGCTTCATTACAGTCCAAGAATCCTCACCAAGAGTTCTTTGTCGCAAATGATGTCCGCCGCCATGGTGGAGGCATGGGCATGTGGCTGGGTATCTGGTCATGGTGCTGGATCGCTTCCATTGCTGTGGGCTTCCAGATTGGCGCTGCGATCATCGACGATTTCACACCAGAATGGGGGTTCTACGTCACTGTTTTTATTCTCGCTCTTGCCTTGGTTCTCAACATCATGACTTCGGAAACCCGACGCGCACCGTTTCGCAGATCAGTGACCGAGGTGTACGACAGAGATGAGAACTATATCACAAGGCGAGTGAGTAGGGGTGAGGTGAAGTTACACATCGAGAGCGAGGGGCCAAAGTATTGGTTTGAGGAAGTGTGGGCAGGTATCAAACTCATGACGATGATGCTTTGTCAACCTGGCTTCCTCGTCCTGGCGCTCTATCTGGGATGGATCTACGCACAGGTGGTGCTCGTGATTGTGCTTCTCGGTGCTCTCTTGTCGCGAGACTACCGATGGAAGCCGACAAAGGTGGGCGCAGGCGTCATATCGATAGCTATTGGCGCTTTCCTCGCTATTCCTCTAACGAAAGCCGGCATCTTCTCTCGGGAGCGGAAGAGCGCGTTCCGGACCGACTCCATGACTTTTCAGAAGCAAGTTACCTGGTCGAGCCATCTTGTCCGCCGCGCCATCTTCACGCTCACACTCCCTCTGATGGGCATGGCGTACACTATCTCGTCGGCTAGGTGCCCTCAACCATGGCTTGTACCGATTATCTTCGCTGGCGCTGTAGGATTCCTCAGTATCCTCGCTATAGCCGAGTGCCACGGTCTGATGATGGAAACATTCGACACGTGTGACCTGCAACCTGGAGTCAATACGCGACATCGCTTGCAAAGCATGGCTGTCCAGGACCGCAGAAGAAGGACAAACTACACCTCCTTTCCCCGTGTCACTGCTGGTATCTTCGCCAGCCAAATCATCGCTTTCGTCCTCGCCGCTGTCGCAACCATGGTGGGCGGCAACATGACGCGAAGTCTTGGCGCACAAAAGTCTACTGGTACTACGGCGGGTATTCTCTTCGGCATCACTGTTCTTCTCATACTGGTCCTCTGTCGCTTCAAGTCGGTACAAGTCATACCGAATCACACGTTCGGAACCCGCCGCGATACGGCAGCCTGGCAAGAGTTCAAAGACCTAGAAAAGGTCGGCCGGGGCAGTGACTGGAAAGCTGTTGTTATTGGAAACCCGAGTGGTAAGATGAGAAGGATGAGTGTGCTTGAGTTGGGCGCGTTGAGTCGCTGGACTGAAATTCGGAAACTGAACTTTTTGATCAAAGGTGAGATGTTGGGACAGCCCAAGGAGAAGAAGAGGAGTTTTGATGGTAGTTGGTGATTGTGTTGTGAGAAGATTGTTTAGTACTGGAGAAGTGTTGAATAACCTGAAGATAGAGTATGAGAGTGAAACCGGTATTGTTCATGATATAAGAATCTACAAATCTCTAGTGAATGTGACCTCATTGTGACTAGCACGGGATTGTTGAGGTTGTAATGGCAACATGGTTGATCCCCTGAGCCGGCAAGCGGCGACGACGCACGGACGCTTCCGCTGAAAAACCAAGCGTCACTGCCGAGCTCCATCCACCCTCACGAGACGAGCAGACGACCGGCGACACCCCATCTCCCCTCAGTCAATTCGCATCAACATGTCTCTCGCTGCATCACGTGCCGTCATACGGCAATCGACGTTCGCCGTCCGCCGCGCTGGCATCCGCAATGCCTCGACGACCGCCGAAGCCACCAACACTGTAAAGGAAACCGCGTCAAAGGCACAGTCAAAGGCATCAGAGGGTCTCACCAAGGTCACAAGCCCGGCGAGCTCAGCGGCACAGGGTGCCGGTCAAGCCGTCAACAATGCGACACAGCAGGCCACTGGACGGGTAGGAAGGATGGTCAACTTCGTCAACGGTCAGTCACACCATCTCTGCGGCGGGGGAGTGTATCAATTGGCGATGTGCGAATTACGTGCTGTAGTATGAGCTGAGAGAGCCAATTGTGGAGTGCATTGGCTTGTCCGAACAGCTCTGCATGGCTTATCAGGCGCAGCCATATTCGCATGGCTCACCCGTGATAGACGGATGGCCGCACGTCGCAGAGCAGCTGGAAACTCCAAACTGAACTATGAGCTGACATTATCACAGGACTCGTCCCCAAGGCTACCTACTACGGAAGGGTCGGACTCGAGCTCGGCAAGCTTATTGCCCACCAACGAAGCATGCAACCACCGTAAGCCTCCAAGCAGCACGGCTGGACCCACTGGAGTATCGGAGAAATTACTAACACTACCCAGATCCGTCCAGACCATGCAGAACTACATCCAGCCCGCATTGAACGCTCTCCGCAACCCAACCTCGCTCTTCAACCGTGTAGCCAGCGAAGCCAACAGCGCCTCGCAGCAACCCGCCAACGTCCTTGCACAAGTCCGGAACATCCCCCGCGAACAATGGTACTCAATGGGTGTAGTTGTCGCCGAGGTGATTGGCTTCTTCTCCATTGGCGAGATCATCGGCCGTTTCAAGCTTGTTGGCTACAGGACCAAGAAGGACGAGCACCACTGAGTGCGATGAGCTGAGGAAGCTACGACACGACATTACAGCATGCACAAAGGTTCTAAAGGTAGCGAGCAAGACGACGAGGGGTTGGGGAGGAAACACTGTACGATTTGGCGGGCAGGGAAGCTGAGCAAGTGTGTTTGCGGTGCACTCGGGATGTAAGGGATCCGATACTGTTTACTGCACATACCTCTGATTTAGATTCCATTTTCTACATGTGCAATTATTTGGCAATGCATCTACTTCAGTACCAAGCAACGATGATGATTGCCATGGCTGGTTGCGTGAATGTTCCAATGATCGGCGCTAGTTGCGCCGAATCGCCGCGGCCCAGTTATTTTTCTGAGTGCACCCATCCAACTTTTGCAGTCTGAACAAAACCCAAGTCGCCATGCCGGACAGGATATAGCGCTCTCTTCTCGACTCTGCCCTGATCCCCCGCCACTATGAACGTGTTCAAACTCCTTTCGCGATCCTCGAAAGCCGCGCAAAGCTCGTCCGCGCAAAAGCTTCCCTCCTCCGGCGCCGTCGCAAACCCGCAGCTGTTCGGCCATGACGACCCAGCACAACCGTCCGACACGTCGAATTCCAGTCGCAAGAGGAAGAGAGGGCAGAATGGACGGGATGCATCCCCCAGCGCAAATGACTTGTCCGCCGACCTCGACTTCTTCGGCGGCGGTGCAAGCAGAGAAGACGTGAACGGAAGCACACTATCCAAGAAGCAGCGGAAGAAGCAGAAGCAGCAAGAAAAGAAAGAGGAAGAGAATAGGCTTCAAAAAGACACAGAGGAAATAGAAGAGGAACCATACGATGTGGACGAGTGCAAGCGGATACTGCGCTCACACAAACTCAAGGTTTCGGTCCTGGAAGACTTTGCGCCGCAAGTAGAAGAGCCAGTCAAAGAAAAGAAGTCAAAGAAACGGAAGAAGGAAAAAGAGGTCAAAGAGAAGAAGAAGGATGCGAAGACGTCACTCTACCCGCAACCCCTCACCTCGTTTGCGCAATTACGAACGCGATACGGTATATCGAGACGACTGGCGGAGAATATAGCAGAGCAGGGATACAAGCTACCTACCGAGGTGCAACTTGGAGCTTTGCCGTTGCTGCTGAGCAAGAAGGGTCGCAAGGAGTCGAACGGGGCTACACAAGATGTCGAGGGCTTGTCTGGGGCTCAGTATAATGGGGACATTGATCTTTTGACTGTGGCGCCGACGGGTAGTGGGAAGACGATAGCGTTTCTGATACCGATCATCGATTCTCTGCTTGCTGAGGGCAAGACTGCGGATACGAAAGAGGGTCCTCGCGCCATTATTCTTGCTCCTACGAGAGAACTCGCTGCGCAGATTGTTAATGAAGCGAGAAAGTTGGCGAAGGGTACGGCGGTCAAGGCTACACTTATGAGGAAGGGTATGCGAGTCGTGGAGGAGCCAGAAGTAGAGACGCGAGACGATGGAGAGAAAGCTGAAGTGTCAGAGGACGACGAAGAAGAGTCTCAGTCTGACGACGAGGAGATGGCTACACCAAAGAAGAAGCAAGCTAGTCGACGAGCAGAGCTTGTGAAGGCGGCCATCTTGGTTGCGACACCACTCGCTCTGCTGAACGCATTGAAGCGCAAGGATGGTACTGTCACGGGTATCCCCAGTGTATCCCAGCTTGTCCTCGACGAAGCAGACGTCCTCCTTGATCCTCTCTTCCGCGAACAAACTCTCGCGATATGGAACGCTTGCACGAATCTGAAGCTACGAATCGGTCTCTGGTCCGCAACAATGGGCTCTAATATCGACAGTTTAACAACCTCTACATTGAATGACCGCTGGAACGCCCTTTCGACTTCATCGACCTCCCAATCGTCCGATCAACCCGCAACCGCTTCATCCACCACCCTTCCCGCACGGCCCCCCCTAATCCGCCTCGTCGTCGGCCTAAAAGACTCCGCCATACCAAACATATCCCACCAACTAACCTATGCCGCCACCGAACAAGGCAAGCTCCTCGGGCTCCGCCAACTCCTCCACCCAACCTCCGTCTTCACCTCTACCTCCACGCCCACCCTCCGCCCGCCATTCCTTGTCTTCACACAAACCATCCCGCGCGCCATCGCTCTCCATTCTGAACTCCTGTACGACATTCCGCCTGAAGCAGGCGGTAGTAGCCGAATCGCGGTACTACATGCGGATCTAAGTTCGTCTGCGCGGGATAGCATTATGACGAGGTTTAGAAAGGGCGAGATATGGGTTCTTATCACAACGGATTTGTTATCCCGCGGCGTGGATTTCCGCGGCTTAAACGGCGTGGTGAACTACGACGTCCCTTCTTCCGCCGCCGGCTACGTCCACCGCGTCGGTCGAACCGGGCGTGCCGGCCGCGAGGGAGGCGTCGCAGTGACGTTTTATACGCAAGACGATATTCCGTATGTTAAGTTGATTGCGAACGTGATTCGCGCAAGTGAGAAGTTGAGGGGGGTTGGTGAGGGCGAGGGATGTGTGAAACAGTGGTTGTTGGATGCGTTGCCTACGCCTAGTAAGCGTGATCGACAGCAACTTAAGAGGAGGGGTGTGGAAGCCAGACGTGCTGGTGGTGGTGCAAAGACGAAAGATGGAAAGGGGGCGAAGGTGGATCGGATTAGTAGTAAGAGTGGTTATGATCGGAAGATTGAGAATAAGAGGAAAGGGGCGAGGGAGGCGGCGAAGAGGAGGGAGATGGGGGAGAAGAACGGGGATGGAGGGAGTGGGGATGAGAGTGGGTTTGAGGGGTTTGATTAAACGCAACGGACTATTAAGAGTAGTTGATATGAAATGTGTGAGAATAGCATGTGTAAGACTTTTGGCTTCAAAACATTACATGTCGATGTGAGTGGATGGTGATGTTCCGCGGTTTTTATGTTGGACTTGGAAGTTTTCTAAACAGGAGATTTCATGCATGTGTATTTGACTTGTATCTTAACCCGAGTTTTGATATCTAGATGTTCTGTTCATGTGGCTGAATGTGTGTGTGTGTGTGTGTGTGTGTGTGTGTGTGTGTAAATTGTCGATGCTCGCTGCATAACCTACAATCACACCTTCATATACGATAATAGAAAGTGTCACTTCATAAAAGCAAAGATGAAGGCACGACACATGCTTTCTATTCCCTACACTTCAGATTATCTTACCAAGTCGAAGTTTTAGTCCAAGAAGTTAGTAGGTACGATCTTTTCTCTGTATTTCCACTGTAGGATATAACTACTACCACAATATACAGGAAAATCTTGACTGTCACCGCTGGAATATCCTCGACAGATACAGAGATTTTATATCATGAGACTGAAAACAGCCAGATAAGAGCATGGTCTTCTCTTGGACCTAGCTAGAGGAACCGCAAGACTCTGCATGTAGGCTGGAAGGGTTTGGGGAGGCTCAGAAATCCAGGGGTCTGGCTAGCAAGCCTCTTGTAGGTTAGAGATGTGCCTGCAGGTTCGTGTGTAGCTTTCCGGGTTTTGTGTTATTTTCTTCATAGCTTGACAAATGATGGAATGGTTGGAAAGGACAAGTTAATGGACTTGTCTCGCTTCCGTGCATGATAAGTGAGTTCGGCATCGAGAGACTTCCACCAAGGACACATCGTGATTGCTTTTTCGACTGGTTCTCACTGCTCGTCCTCATCTCTACTCCACTCGCCAAACTAGAGACCTCGTCAACAACGAGTGGTACGGAAAAGTTGACCGAAATATCATCGCGGGTATGGTACCCATGGCTAATGTTGGAGTATTGCCGTCCTGCTCTATTAGGGTCCATGGCATTCCTCACCCTCGCATAGCCCCAAAAAGCAAACATAATCCCGTGCAGCAGTGCAGGAGACGGGAAAAAGCATTTCCGGTCCTGCATCTGTGGCTTGCAGAAGCGGACAAGGAATTCCTTTGTCCGCGTACATCTCGACTGCTGTTGTACTTCGCTTAGGGCCGACACCCTGAGATCTACCTCGAAAGCCAGCCTCGGCCCAGTAGTCGCTTGGCCTACCCAGAGTCGATCGAGAGAGCAGTCTGGTCTCTTGATGCATGTCACCGGTTCGTACATCCCGAATATCTGGCCTTGGGGACGTTAAACACGGCAAGGCTGTCGTTGATGCGGCCCGATTTTAGTGCTTCATCGCATTCACGCTGTTGTTTTAAGGGTGTGAAGGCATACGAGCCTTGTGCGACGGCGGTCCTCAACTCCATGCCCACTCAAAGTCGTCGGGTCCCTCGTCCCGATCGGTGTCAGTTTGCGGAACCGCGCTATGAAGCTCATTCCCGGTCGGCCTCTTACTCCGGACTCCAATCCCTAAAGGTCTTATTAACGAGCGATGTGACCACGAGCTGACGCAGCTGGCAACAATTTCCTGGCTGAGTGGCCAGCGAGCTTATACGTCGGAGGAAATAGGCAGAGTACTGCTGTGGTGGAACGCCGCGGTAGAACGAGAAAAGATGGGTGCTGAGGACCATGGTCGAAGCGGGCGAGAACTGTATTGACTTATCCATCTGCGGGCTGGTTCATAGAGCCAGACACTCTTGACTGTGCAATCAGCTCCGAGCCGTGGGGGAGATCCAATCACATCTTACTCGGCTCACGCTGCCTCACAGATAACATGGGCCTGGTGGGTGGCGCTTGCACCACCCCGCATCTCACAGCCTGATCACTCACCTGTCCAGAGGTGATTACAAGCGTGAATTTCCGCATGTTGCAACTTTCCGTGCATGCGTTCCTATGTGGTTTGATGAGTCAAAGTCTCGAGTTCGGAAGGCTCAATGTCTGTTCATGGAATTGTTCCGGACCGATGACTGGTAAGGTCGCCTACCGCGTCTAACCTTTCAGCTGGGTAGGGCGGTTCGAGGCGTTTCGAGGCGTACGGATACGGGTAGCAGCAGGATCGTATGGCTGCCGCTGTCGTGTCCACACCAGAAAGCCAAGAAACGTGGGCTGTCGCCGGTGCAGTCGTGTAACCATAATCGAGTAGTTTACCACACCCGTCTGTGATTACGCGGACTTGTTTCAACTCTTTTGACTGGCTGTCCTTCGCAGTTCAGTTCTTTCGATAGAGCGCAATAATACGCTAATTTGAACAGTATTCCAGGGCTGACATGATAACATGGAGTCTCGTGCCACATTCCTATTTAGCTCATCACCGACGTACTTACCAATCTTTCTCTTGCGTTGTATCGACTTGCCGTTTAGGTATATTCAGCAGGTAAAATTCTGTATGCGAACCAGGGTAGCCGAAACGCAGTCCTCGGCCTGCAATGCAGGTCAAGTAAGGGATTATAATGGCGTGCATGCGGCAAGGCGCAGGCCTAGGGTACGCACAGCATCTGAAGTTCGTGCATGCTACACATCTCAACAGAATTGCATGGGGCCATTTAGATGCACCGAACATCCCCGTACGTGTGCAATGCGCGGATGTACCTGGAACCATGAACTGCGTAAGTGCTTCTTAGTGCGTTCCGATGGAATGATTCCGTTTTCATATGATCGGCAGATTTCGAAGATTGGTTATTTTCGGACGGTCCATATCGCGTTACACGGTGTTCCAGGACAACGCAGTATCTGGGATACAGTCAAGCTATACCTCTAGGGTTTGTCGGATGTTATGCGTGAAAGAATTTCGCACCGATCTTTACGCAATTGTGTTGCAATCTTCCCAGAAATAGAAGGAAGTCCATTGCATGGCTCTTTAGTGTAGATATGAGATGTTGCACTTTGATTGATGAACCGCAAGGCAGTCTCGAAATGCCTAATCTTAATCAGTGTGATATGAATGCTGGGATTAGCATACATGCTCGCCAGTACTTGATTCATGGCCGAACAAAGAATTGTCCTATCAGGTGTGCTTATCGTCACAAGATAGCAGCGCCACGAGCGGGTAACGCCTATACAGGCCTGCGGTCGAATTTGCTGTCTGCATGAAATTTGCGGTGGATCATTTGATGCGAATGAGAGAGGGTGTAATCCGAAAGACGTTCCTAGCACGTGCTGCCGTGAGCGACCACTCTGGTGTACCGTGGCTTATGCACGACATCAGAGATCGACCAAAGTCCTATTAGACGACCACTCGCTTCACTTGGCAGTCTTGTATATTTCGACGTAATCGAAGTATGCGTAGAAGCTATTGGTACTCGTCCCGTGGCAGCGAGTGGCTTGATGGTCAACAGAGGCGCTTGGAGGGGTGTGCCTTGTTGGAATGTCCGCAAAGATGACTGTAGATGCCAAAGACTAGAAACTCAAGGTCTTTGTTCTACCTTCCTTCCGAAGGATCAGCTTATGCAGCTAAATAATTTTCACACCGTTCGCGAAGGGCCATGGCTATGCACAAGGACATAAGCTATCTGGGCGGGTTTGGGATCAGGTGTCGGCAGCCGCATACAGTACAGAATATGGATAAGGACATCGCTATAGCCCCCAACCCTAGTCGGATTATAGTGGCCTCTAATCTCCGGCAGTGCGGGATGTGTTCCAAGTAATATGACGCGTCCAACAGTGTCGCAACTGGTAGCCTGCAAAGAATGTTCAGCGACATACCCATGGGCGGATTTTCGCGCCGCACAACTGTATCGCACGACTGCTTAGGCTGTGTCGCCGTCCGGGCAGTATTACCGCTCAAAGCACAATACGTAGTGACGTGTGAGGGCCTGCATAGGTGGCTCGGCTAGAGGTGGTGTGAGTGTGTGGGGAACAGGTCGAGAGCGCTTCGGGACTGGCGATCAGCACGATTGATTAGCGCGTCGCTAGCGTCCTCCAGGGACTCGCATGACCCTGGCCCCCGCGCGGAAGGTCAAGCATCGTACGAGACTGTAGCCACATTTGATACACTGTTAAGTTTAGCATACATCCGTACGCTTGACTGAACGCGTCGTTGAGTGCAGGAGGGTTGTGGATCATGTGTTGGCGAGTACGATAGGGCATTCATTTGCCCAGGTGACTGATCGGCGCTAGTCTCTCAGTCGATCTCAAGCTGTTGTAGCTTCAGGCAAGCAACCACCACCACCATTTGACCCGCCTCGATCCGTTACCAGCCCACTTCTTTCGCCTTTGCTGTCTTACCATACTGCTTTGGTAGCACGCTTACGTCTTTCAATGAAGTGAGTCCCAAAGCACGCAAGACGCGCGCACTTTGGTATGCCTTTTCAGGTCGGTTTCCTGGGTCGGTTGCGCCCCTCTCCGTACCCAGAGGCAATGGCGGTTCCCCAAAACACTCCTTGCATGGAGTCGAAGAACGCTATCATCATCCAGCTGAGTGTGGCAGGTATCGCCGACGAAAGTTATACACTAATACCATAGGAACGGCTTGGCTGAACATACCGTTCACAGAGACACTGAGACAGCGAAGGTACCGCTGGAAACCGATGACCGAGCTGAATCTATGATTACGCCCTCCAAGAAGACACCAAGATCTCGCTCCTGGTCACCCCCGTTCAGGGTGCACATGGTGAGATGGCAAGAGCAAACCCGATCTTCGGGAAGGTCATCTGGACGTCTTCTGTTGAGAGGTTGCAGCTCCAGCAAGAAAAGCCTCAGACGATGCAAGCCTTCAAACTTTACTTGTGTAGTCAGCTGCGACATCTCATGGCGAAGAAACTACACACTTTGTCCGCGGACCCAAGCTCCGGGCAAGTGGAAGGCATCAAGGCCATCACCAGCCTTGTCCAACATTCGATGAACTTTCAACAGCGTACCAGATAAGCAACATACCCAATTTCCGGTCGGATGAGACAGCCATAGCTGAGGATAGCTTTCATTCGAGGCCGATTCAAGCTCATGCTCAAATCGCCATCTCATGCCTACTTTTGCCCAAGAGTTCATCAATTCACCTTACGTTATCATCACTGAACGCCAACCGAAGGGTTGACGTTTTTGTACCACCTTCCAATTGACTAGAGCAAATCTGTGTGACGGCTACAGGGTGCTAGTCGACTTTCACAGGTCTTCGTCTGAACACTAGCGAGATGTGTCTCAGATCTTGGCCGCTCAACCTGGTAGTCGAGTACCTTACTACGACTCTCACTGAGTAGACCCATGACAGTATTCTCCAACATGGATCTACCAAGGCGCCGCCTCGTACGTCGTATTGATAGCGTGGCTTGTCGAATAATACGGATCTGTTGTCACTTCAGTTACACTGGAAAGTGTTTCTTGGATGCATTAGATCTCGACAGCGAAAGCCCGCCTGGTCGGTCTTGATAGTAGTTGAGGCTCCATGGCGCTGGACCCTGTTCGTCTGTGGCGCGGGAGCGCTTAGCATGTTGTACATTCGTGTATGGCTTTGGCTTTCGCGAGGAACCGGCAAGCGATCCGCAATATGTGGAGGATCCTCTCTGCCCGTGTCTCTGCTTAATGACGCAACAACCGAGAATATTCTGACAGCTGTCACCTAGTATCCGTGGGGTGTGATTTTCGCCTTGCGATACTGGCATGATGATCCACCAAGATCAATGCTCCTTTCTGCGCATTGTGCAATCTTTTGTAGGCGTTGGGCATCAATGTGATTTACTCACCCACAAGGTCAAGGATACAAGACACGCAGTCTACATCTGCTCATCTGAAAGCCGGATGTAGACGTTGACGGGACCGAAAGGGAGGGCTTCATGCAGGGAAGCGCCAACAGCCATGACCCATCTTTCGTTCGATCGCTCGCATGCTGGACGCCCACCCACCTTTGTAAATTACATGCAGTATGCAGCAGCAAGCCGTTTACATGGTTGACAGTCAGGTAATTGGATGCGCGTATGGCTTCCCGCGGCCCGACGACTGGATCTGCATAAGCATGGTATAAACCCCGTCTCTGCAGCGTTCTACACGACGTTTGAGTTTGGAGGCATGCGTACCCGGACCTTGTACGTCTTCATCCGGTGCAGGTACCTTTCCATTGTTCTGGTCCAGCGGGACAAAGACAATAAATACAGTCAACCTGAAGCAACATAGCAGTAAGTCCAGGCAATTCGCTACTGTATACGGTAATGTCTCCGACGAAAAAGCCATCGGTCAACGTACGACCAATACAGCCTACTAGTGTCTAGAGGGACGGAGCACGCCAACAATACGGACCGGCGAGGCACATGGCATTGCTGCTCTAGCAGCGACACACCGTGGCGAGCCGTCGCTGTTGCAGGTGCTCGGCTACAGAGAATGGGCAATCGAGTAAATTAAGTGAACAGCCCCAGAATTTTTCCCGATGGTCAGCGGCAGCGACACAACAACGAGGGCTGCCGCAGCATGAGTGTGTATGAGTGGTAATAAGTAATTAGCCGTGCCGGAAGCATGTACAAACGGAAGATTGAGACGCCAGCCCTGCCGCCAAAGGGTAACGAAGCGCCTATCGTCGCTATTGCGCCACGCTTGGTAAGGTCCGCTTGCAGCGGCTAGTGCATGGGACTCTAAGAGGAGAGAGTGGGCAATTCAGGCCTAGAGCCATTGATCTCAGATGGTCTGGCGCCAAGCGGGGTCACATATTGACCAGGACCCATCGATCATCAGCCGCATCGTTCATAGCCCGCGCGTCGGCTTCGTATCGACGAGCTGGCGGCGTCAGGAGGACCAGTGGGCGATGGCAAAGGCATGTCAAGATTCGCCGTAGTGGATGGCGCGATGAGGTGAGAGTAGTGGGGAGGCGTGTTGTCTCGTGCCCCAACGGCACCAGCACCGGAGCGACCGCGGGGCGGTTACAATGAGGGCCCTTGTCAGCAATGCACCACGATGCAGTCGATCCCTGAAAGCGCTGCAGCTAGGGTGGCTAGGAATATGCGAGCGATTCAACGGCTGGCGGGATCCAAGCATGACGCTCGAGCTCAGTGGGCGCATCTGCTATTCCCGACTCGTACACACCCTGGTCACTACTGGAATTTCGCAACTACCTCATGCTCCAGCCATGTTCACACTACCCCAAAGTCTGCTAAGGGAATCTCATGCAGCTTAAACAGCGCCGGGAGCGAAACATGTCCTCGCCGCCCTAGCCCGCTCGCAAGCATCTGTTTAAATACCTGTCACTTCCGCTGCTTCCCCGATGCAAGCGGCTTTTCACTCCCACCATTCGATGTGATCTTCGTTTACCGTCCACCGTCGTAGTTCACGTTCCGCACTACCACACTCGTTGGCCGTCACAATGTTCCCTTTTCCATTAGCCTTGTTCCCCAATTGGAGTTGGTTTTGTATCTTTTTGGCTCTCTTGTATGTCTACCATGGCTGCCACTGGCAGCCATCCCCGCACTTTGGACGACACTGACTCGCTACCACAGTTTGTTTCGATATGTCAGATTATGGGTGAACCTGGCGAGCAACTGGACGTACACACCCATGAAGCCTGTCGACGACCCTACCATCACATCAAAGGACATGACTGTCATCATCCCAACAGTTGCCGAAAACCTGCAACAACTGAAAGAGACGGTTCAAAGCGCATACCGTCTCGAGCCGTTGAGCCTCCTCCTCGTCACACCCGACTCGCGAGTAAAGCGTGTGTACCAGATGGTAGAAGAGCTGGGTAGCCCCAAGATCATTCAAGTTCTATCCGTCAGCCAGGCCAACAAGCGTCGACAGCTATGCCGGGCCATTCCCGAGGTCGAGACCAAGATCACGCTTCTACTTGACGACGATGTATGGTTACCGGAGAAGTTTACCAAGTGGATTCTCGCTCCTTTTGAGGACCCATCTGTCGGGGGTGTTGGAACCAACCAGCAAATCCGCCGCTTCAACCGCTCCAACATCTGGGAGTTCCTGGGTGCCATCTACCTGGTGAGGAGGAACTTTGACTGCACCGCCTGCAACTGGATAGATGGTGGCCTGCCGTGCCTGTCTGGACGCGCCGTTGCCTACCGATCCGAGATCCTGCAAGACCCCAATTTTACCTACGGCTTCACGCACGAGACATGGGGCAGCGATCACTTTCTTAACGCCGACGACGACAACTTCATCACGCGATGGTTGTTCTCACACAACTGGAAGATCCAGATGCAAAACCATCGCGAATGCGAAGTCGAGACGACGCTCGAGGACGATTCAAAATATCTTCGTCAATGTCTGCGATGGGTCCGCTCCAACTGGAGGAGCAATCTGACTAGCCTGACGGAGGGTTACATGTGGATGGTGAGTGCCGCTAGTTTCCAATATTTGCACAGATTTCGCGTTGTTGGACGCCCGCCAAGCCAGCCCCTCTTTTGACTTCGCCGATTCGCACTACCTTTGCTAATCCTTGCGTAATAGAACTACCCATGGTCCCTCTATGCCGTCTTCCAAACCACGCTTACGCAATGGGCCTTCCTCCTCGATTGCGCCCTCTTCGTCTCAGTCTACCTCGCGCTGGCGGAGGCAGGATACTACGCAGCAGAGGATGACAAGCAAGCCCATGCGCAGGACTGGCAGCGCAACCTTTTCTGGGCGCTGTTCCTCGCACACTGGGTCTTCGCGAAGACGATCAAGCTAATTCCCCATTTGTTAAGAAACCCGGGCGACGTCCGCTTCGTCCCGATCTCGATTCTTTTCGGCTATTTTCACAACCTGATCAAGCTCTACGGCTGCATCACCGTGACAGAGGTATGTCATGAATCATTCATTGCGCTCTGTTCAACGTAGCTGACGGCTTGCTACCAGACCACATGGGGTACTCGCGAGGGTGCAGATGCCGACGACAACATCAGGATGTTACCTATCCCGCCGATGGCGACAATTACCCCTCCCTTGACGCCTCCACCAGGCGGACGCGTGCTTCGCGAGCGAGGCGCCGGTTTTCCGATGATGAATTAGACGACGATTTTTCCCTTTCTGGCCGGCATTCCAGGCCCCGGCCGCGCGTTTTTGGATGCATTAATGTTAGACGCATGTCAGTTTGAAGCATAGCATCTACCAGTACACGCATGGTAGAGCAGCGCTGTGTTGTTTCCTACTATTGAGCGTGGCAGCTCTCGGATACCAAAATGGGCCAGGTTGGATGCAAGGTGTTCAAGGAGTTTACGGCCATGGTCGAATTTGCAGCGTCTTTCCACGCGCCGTGTTGGTGAATACCCAACCATGTAGTCTACGCAAAAGTCACAACAAATGACAATGATGATGACCGTTATTACAGCCGCTCTGTTTGGTGCCTTCCTCAACTTTCAACGTCGCAGCTCGCTCCTGCCTTCCCCCGAGGCGCGTGGTCAGCCGCGACTGCTCTGGCTCCACGTCTCACGATTGTGCAACCGCGGCACAAAAACTCTATCCCAACATCACAGCTGTTTCCCGAGCAACACACGACCCCCTAGTCAGCCGTCTTAGGCGTCTTACCCGCGCTGCACGGCCTACAAGTAGCGCGAACCATCACCCGCATCGAGGACATCGCCTGCTTCATCGTTTACGGCAAAGATGTGGGAGTCTGGGCCGCCTCGAGACAAATAGTGGCACGTTATCTGAGACGGGCGCACTACGAAGAGCATAGGTAGGCAATACTCCCGACGCGAACCACTCAAAGACGGCAGGTGCGAAGGGCAGGTACCTAGGTACCCCTCGGTTTACGGGATAAGGGAATTGAAGAACCCACTCCCCAAGTCTCGGAACTACCTCGTATCTCCGCTTTCGGCCATGGCCCGCAGCATCGTTTAATCTGTGGCTTTGCGCAATGTCACTCTCGCAGCTGGCCTTCTACCACGCCAAATGCGCCTCTCCTCTGCTGCAGCAGTAAATTCCGTCCAGTATCGGCTGCAGTAAGCTCTGGGGGTCAGCGTTGTTCTGGCACTTTCGACTCCCCTATCGCGATCCGATGGCGCTGAAAAGTCGATGGCGTCCACAGGTCTTCCCACCAACGAAGCTGCCCACTCAAGCGGGCCTGCATGCTGCACGTCCTAGCTGAAGCTTCAAGGAAACCATGCCGGCGCCGAACTTCTCATGCACACTTGCATCGCTGGCCCTCATCAAACATCATCGTGCGTTGCGGCAATTTTCTTCCCTACCCACGACACAAATTCTGCGTCTCGTCAACAGGGACGATGACGGATGACAGATGCATGAGCCCTGGTCTTCTAGCGAGCCAGCAAATCGCACGGAAGAGACCCTTTGTCCAAACCTTATGCTGGTCATCCCGCTCCCGCAGGCCTGTGTGTCCAGAGCCAAGCTCCCACGCTAGACTGGCGCTGTCTGCGGCGCGACGCCTGACCCATTTCTCCACCTCTCGTCATAGCTGCCTGTCACTGCGTACGTAGCATTCGCAGCAAATGGGCCAGCAGGCATCGAACAGCACACATGTAAATTGATACTCTGTAGCCAAGCTGTCGCAAGCATCTGTGCCGCATCCCCGATGCAACACGCTGCAGACAGCTGTAGGCACGGACTTGCAGTTCGACACTCGCGTGCCGTGTCCCAGAGCATTTACCAATACCGGACGGAACATTGCCATTGGTGTCTGGCCTGCCAGTAGTACTACAACTGCACAGGTGCAGACTGGGCGAGCGCCACGCACTAGCCAAAATGGCAGTGAACATCTCCAATCGAGATGACAATGAATGCTCAATACACACGCTTGAAAGATGGCTCAACCTATCTGCTCCCCACGTTACACGACATGGGCCGGAATGCCTGATGATGGCAGCGAAATCAGTTTACAAGTCCGGACATTTGACATTCGCTTGATCCTGCTTGTCAGCAGCCGAAACGTTGTCCAAACAGCTGGGTCGAAGGCGAAAACTCTGCACATCTCGCTTCACGCGCGAGACACGCTGTCGGGATGCACGTTATCACACAAAAATCTTTACATCACTTCTCGTCCATCCAGTTATCTCACTTCAGGGAACTTATGCGCGAAGGTCCAAATTACTCGTATATCTTGAAGCAAGGGGCCCAGAGCGGTCATGCAATGCGTACAAATACCCACTTCATCCTCGCCAGGATACACTGCGCTAAGGCCATGTTGGCTATTACCGCGACAGCAAAGACTGTGTATTTGCGGAGTCCCTGTCGACTCTCTTAGCCTCTAAAGATGCTGGCCCTCTGACGACATCAGACGTCTAGCCTAAGTTCCAAAAGGCCCAGATCTACCCCATAAGTTGTTTGAGGCTACTTATCATGCAAGTTTTGGATCTGGTCATGATCGTGTCATGATTGTCTGACAAAATGCTGGAGCCTCCTCCGAGCGTGCGTTTGAATCGATCGCGGCTCCATACCGGCAGCAATATTCCAAGTTCGACACGGGCACACAAACTTGTTCAACCAAACCAATACATAATCTTTACATCATCAGCAATCTCCAACAACACCGAAACTTAGCCGTGCTTGTTTGGGGATTTCGGTTGCGAAATTGTGAGAACAACTTCTCTCCGTCAGTATGGGCCTTGAACTGGCGCGCCAGAGGTAGCGTCGCGCCGTGCCGGTCGTGAACCGAGATCCAGCGGCAAGCAAGCACGAGCTGCAAATCATTTCGAGTCAGGTCCCTCTAACGTTTGCGGTACAGTTATCGCCGGAATCTGCTCGTCGCGGCATATCTTCGGATATGTCTAGTAGAAAAGCTTTCATCTTCGGGGCACAAGTCACGTGCACGAGGTCGATCTGGCCAGTCTGCCCGAAACGGTTTGTATCCAGGAACGCTGCAACGTCGTAATGTGGGGAAGATACCATATATGACATCGTCATCGTCTCAACCTACTCCTTCCAGCTCCACCGGCTTGCGCGTCGTTTAATACCGCAGATATAGGTGGCCTTTTGGGAACCCTTACTAGCCATTCTTAGGCTCGGTGCGACTTTGGTAGAGTAGATCCGATCAAGCCTCGTCCGTCGTCCGCTACGGGTCCCGGCGCTTTTCTTTTTCCATGGTTCGTCGATCTTAGATGACGACGTCGCACGACATCCTCACATGACTGTACTGTCACTCCGCACAGCAACCTTGGAACACCATCTATGATAGCGAGTCCCTGCAGCTGCACGTCAAACATCGCGTAACCAAGATTAGCATCGTCACACAGCCGCATTCCTATATCATCAGCCACAAGAACACATGATCTATAGTCCACTCCCTAAGTATCGGTCTCTTGAACCGAGCGAGCCGCAACACATGCCTCTACTCCACGGCTATAAACGCGCTAAAATGACGTGCATCCTGACTGAGCCGTGGCTGACTCGGCGTCAAGAGACATCAGGGGTCTTGCCTGTCTTCTCCACAATCACGGCTACTTTCGTTGCATCCAGACTTTTCACCCCACCCTCTTCTTGCTTTCACGATCAGAACAGCCGGACGGCCTCTCGGTCCTTGATTGTGATTTAGGCGTTCGGCGCCGCACGAGTCAGCTTTCAACACCTCACGTCATACATCGCGGGATGAGGCCGCCAGACATTCCCATAGTATCTGTAAAGGGCTACTTCGGTCTTAGGCCCACTCGCTGATAGATACTGGCGGATGATGGGCAAACGGGTGTGGGTACAATAACAACTAGTGCTCAGCAAAGTGTGCCATAATGCACTATATTGGTAAGCGCTGAGGTGATGTTGGAGACCAACAGGCGAAGGTCCATCGGCAGACCCTCTCTTTTGCAAATACAGAGAGGGTCCTGCTGACAGTGGTGGAGCTGACTAAATGCTGAGATTAATAGGATCGGAGACGCTCAGCCACCACAGATTTTGACAGCTTCGGCCATACATCTAATTCGCGCATGCTGCGCGCTGCCGATACAAGAATTTCGGCAGATGCAGTAAGCAGGCTCCCCAGTCACATGCCACGCTCCACGGAAACAAAGTGACCTTCGCAGAGCCTCACATATGCACGACTTCTGAAAATTGTTTGTTGAGCTGCGCGCCTGGCAGTGTCGGTGCTTCTCCGGCCCTCTTTGCTCCGCTTACCCCTCCCTCGCTTCCGAACCTTCACGGGAATTACTGTACCGTGAGAGGTAATCAAGGGCAATAGCACCAGGATCGATGGGCACCCGCGCTCGCTTTCCAAGCGAAAGTATATTCGTACCCTCTTGCCTATGGCTACCCCACAATTGCCGTCGGCTTCATAGGCATTGAGTTTGACACTTGTCCTTGTGGCTGGGAAGCGCGGGACGACTAAGCGCCTATCACTGCACGATCGAGGCGAGCTGCCTTCTGAGACCACGTCAAAGTCGGCGTCGTGCGTGCAGGGGACGCCTAATTGCTGTACGTTTCCTCCGTGGAGCGCGTTTGGTGAGGTGTACGAATATGTGGGTTCTGCTTTGTATGTGGTATGTACTGCGCTCCTGTTGTGATGCCAAGATGCACGTCTTGCATGTGTCTAGAACCAACGGTCGTGCACTCCGGTATATCATCTGCAGGATACGAAGCATGTGTTCCGGCATCAAGCTGCCGAGGCTGGAAATCGTCGATACGTTGTACGTTGCCTTGATTTATCACCGGCCATATCGTGATGAAGGGCGGCCAAGCCGGACGGTCTTTCCTAGCCATTTGAGTTTGCTTCATATCAATCAAAATAACAGATCTTGTCGTCTCCAATAGCTTTGAGTTCGAGTAGTCCGAATGCATGTTGCTCATCAATACTGCAAGTCCATTACTAGTACTGCTATTGGGTCATTGTAGACGACAAGTTCTCTGATAGGAAAAACTAAACGTCTTCAGACACGAAAACGTCCAAATCCAAACAACATGAATCAGAATCAACCGTGATCTGCGTGAAGAAGTAGCGTTTGTTGGTACAACAATCTATACTCGGAGCCACTTACCCCGCCAACCGAAAGCATCTCCCCGCATTACAACACCACAGTACTCAGTATAGCATATCAATTCAACAAAACATCCAACCACCAGATTTCTGGGCCTACAACCAAAAGAAGAAAAAACACCCCTTTAAACACATCCGTCCCAAAGCCTCCCCAGCCACATCAGCCTCCCTAACACTACGCCCCGCGGCCCGACCACCCTACCAACCAATCCCACAATGGCATCTCAAGACATACCCATTCTAGACACACACATCCACCTCTGGCCGTCAACCGCAACATCAGCCTCAAACCATGGCTGGATGACCCCTGGCCACCACCTCTCCAAACGGCACGGCATATCAGACTACTTGTCCATTACATCCCCACAACCCGCGGGATTTATATACGTAGAAACTGATCGGTATCTTCCCTCCGCGCAGCCAAGTATCAAAGAGTCTGATAGTGATGAGGGAGTGAAGAATAAGTTGAGGGAGTGGGCGAAAGAGCCACTAGAGGAGGTCAAGTTTCTGAGGAGGATAGTCGAGGGGACGCCGGATGAAGGTGATGGGTTTACAGTTGATGAAGCGGGGAAGATGAAGGGGGTTGTTGTGTATGCGCCTTTCCATCTCTCACCGCGTGTGTTTAGTTTGTATTTAGATCTTGTTGAAGAGGTGGCTGGTCCTGAGCTCTGGCAGAGGATTAAGGGTTGGAGGTATCTGTTACAAGGAAAGGGGGAGGGGGCTGTTGCTAAAATGTTAAGGGATGGAGAAGAGAACTGGGTGCGAAATCTTTTCCGGTTGAAGGATCTTAGGGACGGGTGCCAGGCGTGGTGTTTTGATGTGGGCGTTGATAATCATAGGGATGGGACGGAGCCTATGGAGGCGGTGGGAAGGTTGATCAAGACTGTTAGGGAGAGGGAGGAGAAGGAGGGAGGAGGAGATGGAGATGGGAGGAGGGTCAAGTTTGTGTTGAGTACGTATATGTCTTCCCCTTTTTCCTGCACACCTACACCGTGGTGTTTTGCCCATTCTCACATGACATGCTACGGACTTCTCAACTAACACAAGTCCCAGACCACCTGGCCAAACCCCCCCTCTCCCCTACCTCACCCATCCCCTCTCCCATCTGGCTCTCAACCATGTCCACCCTCTCATCCGACACCAACGTCTACATGAAGTTCTCAGGCGCCTTCAACGAATTTACCGTCTCACCCACTCCCTCCGACATTCCCAGTATCCTGACCGCCTTATCTCCTTTCCTAGACCATCTTTTCAAGTGTTTCCCAGGCAGAGTCATGTTCGGAAGTGACTGGCCGGTTTGTAATGTGGGTGGGCCTACGGGAGAGGAGGGGAGCTGGAAACTGTGGAGGAGCGTTGTGGAAGCGTGGATGGAGGGGAAGGGTATGGGAGAAAGGGAGAAGGAGAGGGTTTGGAGGGGGGCGGGGGAGGAGGCTTATGGGGTGGTGTTGTAAATGGAGGACCTGACGTGATGATGTATGTGAGGGGGGTGTCTTGTTCGTGTTTTTCATTTGACGGGCATTCGAGATGGATTTATACTTGATATTGAATTATATGGCTTGATGTGTGACGATTGAGGGTAGGTTGCTTCATAGATGGTTCAAGATGGGGACTCATCTTGTCTGTGTCGATCTAGAGATGCTGCATGACAAGATTGTGATAAGCAGTAAAACCCCATCCCGTCCACCCACCTACGCAAACCCCCCTGCCCCCTCTCCACCCATCCCCAACAGTACAACAAACGTCGCCTTCCCCTGAGCAGCCGCCCCATCCTCACCCCTCCTAACAAGCCCTAGATACGCACCCAACTCCTCATCATCCGTGACCTCAACCAACACCTCACTCTCCGCCCGACCCCCTCTATGTACAACCAACCCTTGTAGCTTATGCACGATGGTACCGGGGTGTTCGCGCATCGCTATATTGTGTAGTTCATCGACTGAGGGTGTTTGGATGATGGAGAGCCAGACGGATCGCGCAGGGTATGGAGTTGAGGAGTGGGCGTGGAGGCGGAAGTAGACGGGAAGGGGCATGGAGATATTTGGAGAGGCGGGGTAGTAGGCTTGTTGAAAGTGGGCGTGTGGGTCGGGATGGCGGTGCTGGTGCTGGGATGCTGGTTGGTAGTGGCTGGACTGGTAGTGGTGTTGAGGCTGATACGAAGGGACGGGTAGTATTGCGGCGTCGCTCGCGGCTAGTAGAAGAGATGGGTCGATCTGAAGGTCTGAAGCTGTGGATAGAGAGGGTGCAGCAGGATATGTCGTCTGCGTCGTTGCCGTTCGACCAGCACTACTGTGTTGCCTCCCCTTATTTCCCGGGGTCGTCGGATGTGCAGCGACGACAGGCGGCGCAGGTCCTGGGCCCGGTCCTTGATGGACCTGTTTCTTTTTACTGGGATCTTTGGCAGTCTTTTCCTGCTGTTGGCGCTTCATCACGTCTCGGGCCAGCACTTCGAGAGCTCGTAACTTCCGCGCATAGTCCGGATCGTCTTCCCCATCTGCGAGCGCCCTCACTAGGTAATCGGACTCGTTGACCCACACTTGCTTCAACTGTGTCCAGCGGTCCTCGCCAGCTTCATGCTTATTGGAAAACTGAGCTGCTTTCAACTTTCCGGCAAAAGCGCTTCGGACGTGTCGTGTCTGTTCAGGATTGAGACCAAGAAGGTTCTTTGCATCGGCGAGCGTCATGCGCGTATCCATCGTTCGTAAGCGTTTCGTAACGTCCATACAGATAACATCAAGTGACAGCGCTCTCTGGCCTTTCGGACGGAAGAGCGCGTCGACGTTCTGCAGCACCTCTGGCTCTTGTTGAAAGACTTGAGCCAAGTGCGTGTCGTCTCGAACGAGTTGTTGTACAATCTGCGCCCACTTCTCCGGACCGGCAATAGTCTTCTTTGTAACTTGCTGCTCCTTGCAGATCTGGAGAAAGCTCTCTCGAACTTGGCGGTACATATCATTGTCCAGACCGAGGTATGCTTTGGCTTCGTCGATGGTGGTTTCGGATGGGAATCGTGGAGGTTCGCCGGGGGCGTCTGCTGGCAATCCGGCCCAACCGCGTGTTCGACGTCTTCGCTTGCGTGTCCGCCATTTCTCGTCGCTTTCGGTCTGAAGTTGCTGTTGGCGCAGTTGCTTGCGTAGCACTTCCTCCTCGCTCAAGCCTGTGATGTCGGGTTCGGGGAGTATAGGTCGCGCTTCTTCCATAGGTGCCCCACCCTCCTCTCCTTCTTCCTGAGCAGTCGCGGGCTCTTCTTCGCTTCCATCATCATCGCTCGTAGATTCCTCTGCCAATATCGCGTTTCCAAGCTGGTTGATTAGACCCCGCCCTGGCACAACCTTGGTACGCTTCTTCTTCGGCTTCTTTTGTATCCTCCCTTCATCAGCCTTTGTCTTCTTCGATCTGGAAACGCTCTCTCGGAGTAGGAGCTTAAGCCTCAGGCGTAAGCGCAACAGTTCGCGGTCGTTGATCTGAAAGCCTTCAGCCTGTAGCGTGTCCACCATATCCTTCTGCGTATAGTTCTGCTCCCATAGTTGCTGGAGTCGCGCGACTAGGGCGGTGTTCTTGTGCGCCGGATTCTGCTTCGAGGGGAAGTCCCATCGCTATGACGGTATCAGTCAAGGATTCGGAGTGGAGGCTGGAAGTTGTGCGGTAGCGACGCACCTTGAATTGCGTCTGGAAGGCACGCTTGCTGGAGCAATATTGTCAGCGTTGAGTGTTCTAGACATGTAAGATTGCGAAATGACGGTGAGCGAGTACGGCGACCCATATGTACTCTCCCGCGCAGCGCTTGCATACCTTGGAGTGAACCCTCGTATCTCAAAGTACGACATGACCTCTTCCAGACTCCTCCGCTCCTCAACATAGAGTTGATAGCATACTGCCTCTTTGTCGTCCCAAGAATACACCATCCTCGATCTCGCGGTCGTATCGCAGTATCTGGTGGAGGCTCTCATGAATTGCGCAACTGGTTCAACTGGGGAGCGCGACGCAATCGCCAAGACTTTCGGCCTCGGCTGATGATGTCCCGAACACCCAGACCGAACACGGCTCAACTATACATCGCACCTACCGAACCAGATTGCGCATAGCGGCATGTATATTATGGCTTCCTCCTGGATAGACGGTAGTATCGGACAAATTATTTCTCGCCGTCTTCTAAGAGATTCAATACCTCCAAACAGACCACCCTGAGCCCCTCCTATGCTGCGATAGTCCATCTACCATACCCCACACTCTATACCTACGAGCAACATGTCGCACGCCCGTAAGAACAGCCTGTGGACGCCCACCGCCCCGACAGCGGCGCAAACGCCTCAGCTCCTCTCTGGCAAGTCCATGATGATCACGGGCGGTGTTACTGGCATCGGCCGCGCCATCGTCCTCGGATATCTTCAACACGGCGCAAACGTCGCCGTGAACCACTTCGGCGACGACAAGTCCTCATCCCAGTACCAGACCCTCGTCGAGGAAGCAGCCTCGAACCTACAAACCAGCAAAGAAGAAATAGAGAAGAGGCTAGTAGAAGTACCCGGCGACGTAGGAAACCCCGAGACAGGAAAGAAGTTGGTGGATGCCGTAGTACAAAGATGGGGACGATTGGACGTTGTGATAAGCAACGCTGGTATCTGCGAGTTCAAGGAATTCTTAGAGTACGTTTTCCCTCATTTAGCAACGACACTGTAGAAGTGCAGAACTAACACGCCACACCTTAGAATAACACCGGACCTCTGGAACACAACCCTCACCACCAACCTCACCGGTGCATTCCACACCATCCAAGCCGGCGCAAAGCAAATGTCCACGCAATCCCCTCCCGGCGGCTCCATAATCGGCATATCCTCCATCAGCGCCCTTGTAGGCGGCGCATACCAGGGCCACTACACACCCACCAAAGCGGGTGTACTGTCTCTCATCCAGTCCTCTGCATGCGCACTGGGAACACATGGTATACGGTGCAATGCGCTGCTGCCGGGTACAATCAAGACTCAGCTCAACGAGAAGGATCTTGAAGACGAGGAGAAGAGGAAGTACATGGAAGGTAGGATACCGCTGGGAAGAACGGGGGTGCCGAGTGATTTGGCCGGTCCGGCGATCTTTCTGGGCAGTGATTTGAGCGGTTATGTGAATGGCGCGCAGTTGTTGGTTGATGGGGGTCTATTCGTAAACCTACAATGAACAGTCTCCGAAAACCAAATTTAAACACGGGGATATTTCGCTCTTCACCATGTCAGCTCCAACTCTATGCGTTGCACCCCCGTCACCGCACCCAAGATATCTTCCCTGATACGCTCAGCAGCATCCCGCTCTATCCCCTCCATCATATCTCTAATCTCATCCTCTTCCTCCATCACACCCAACACATTTTCTCGCCGCTTTCAACACACCCCTGTCCTTCCGAGTCTTCTCCCTAAGGACCCAGTACGTCTCTGGCGCCATTCCATGCAACTCTGCTCCCCTAGGATTCATCCCGCCTATTCTATCAACCAACACCACATCCATGATCTCACCCAACGGCATCGGAATCACAGACTCGTTGGGTAGATCGTGGTAGCTACATGGATTCCGCCCGCAGATTATACATGCGCGGCAGAGAGGGCAGGAGTATGTGAGTGTGCTTTTGAGGAGCCAGGAGGAGAGGCAGGGGGCGCAGAAGGTGTGCGTGCAGGGAGCGCGTTTGGGGATGTGGGTGTGGGCGTCGAAGAGGGATGTGCAGATCGGACATGAGTCGTCGTCGGCAATAGATACTGTTTCGAGACGTTGAGAGGCGGATGTGAAGAACCACAGTGCATCTGGGTCTTTTATCAAATTCGCTCGGTCGTATGCAGTTTCATGCCATTCATGCCCCGCCGCGAGAGCGCTCGCTACGATACTCCCCACATCCATGCATGGGCCCTGCAATGTTTGAAGCTCTACGATGTGAAGGTATTGATGCTGTTCCACCGTCCTTCGTTGAGGATGTTTCAACATCCCATCTTCCACCCAATCCCTAAACGTCACTTGCTCGTAGAAAGAAGGCAAGTCGGAGTAAATTCCTTGCAGTGTATAGTTCTGTGCCAGCTCGATGACTGCGGAGTCGTTGGCTTCCAGCGCATGGATGAGGGACGTGGTGAAAGTTTGGAATGTGTGCATGGAGTGGATGTAGGGGTCTGAAAGGTTGGTCAGGGGCGTGACGAAGGAGTTGTGGTGTCTTAGGTCGAAGAGAAGGGTTTTAATGGGGGAGGTCATTTTTTCAATGTGCAGGGGGCGGAGCTTTGGTGTTGGGGTTGAGGGAGGGGTTAGTAGATCGGGCATTGAAAGGAGTGAGAAGTTCTGGTCGGTTGGGTTCGCAGGGTTTAGAAGGGAAGGAGAAGGTGAACAGATGAATCTGTGGCGACAATGTGTATGTTGCGTTGTGAGGTGAAACAGAAGTTGATAACGCGCTCCTGGGCTATGGGAATTACACTGTCACCTTGATACGACGCGGATTAGTAAGGGTGAATGTATTGAGACCCTACGTGTGATCGTCTTGGATACGTGATACCTGACAATACACTTGAGGTCCTCCTGGAACAACGCCCATCATGCCAACTCCATCGCTATGATACCCATATCAACACCTAAAGGCTATAGATGCGAATGTACGAAGACCGTGAACACCTCAGTATGCGAATATGTACCGTGTAGCCGAACGTTACCAAAGAGTGCGTCAAGAGAGGATGCTGTGATCAAGAAACCTGTCAAATGTTAGAACCTGTCCGGTTCATTCTTCAAAAGCGACCCTATTCAAGAGGGAGTGCCTGCTCTGCGCGAGCATCAATGGGGGTTGGAGTGCAGTTACCTCAGCAATGTTCTGGCGCTCGATATAGCTCTCCTGCCTCACGTCTCTACCGACGCGCCAGTAGATGTCGGTGTAGTCAGCACAGTTCATCTCTCGTAGGAACTGCTCGTCGTGCGTGATGACCAGCAGCTGAAAATTGGCCTGCTTCCTGCGGCTCTGGATGATCTGAGACAAAGACTCGGCGAGACCCTTGATGTTCTGCTGATCCAGATTGGTAGTGGGTTCGTCAAGCGCAATAAGACCGCAGTTTGTGCCGAAACATTCTGCAAGCGCGAGACGTATGACTATTGAAGCGAGGACCTTTTGTCCTGCGGAACAGCGGCCTCGCATGTCCATCTCGGTGTCTTGCTTTACCATCACAACGCGGTAGTTGTATGTCCGATTACCTTTGCCATCACCATCGGACACGATGCGGATCGCGTCCACATCCGTACCTTGATATGCGTTGCGCCACAGCTCAGCGAGAATGGTATTGATCTCCTCCATCTTGAGCGTGTGATACTTCATGATCGCCTTGTCCAAAGCACCAGCATAGCGCCCCAGGTCATCGATGACGGCTTTGGTAGTTTCGACCTTGATGTGCGCCTCACGGTACTGCTCCGCAGCCTTTTTGTAGATCTTCTCGTACTCCGTCATGAGCTCCGTAAGCTGGTCATCTTTGTTTTTCATGTCTCGCTCAAGACCCGTCTTCTTGAGATTGAGGTCTCTGTATTGAAGATCCCAGTGTTCAGCTTGACGCTCGTAATGTTGCTTGTCACGCTCAGCGCCCAGATCTTCTAGCTTTTTGATCTCGACTTCCAGGGTGTCGAGGGAGCGCTTGGCTTTCCGATAGCGTAAGTTTTCACTGATAGAGCGCTTGTTCGTTTCCGTGTCGCGCACCGTATCTTCGAGCTTCTTTATTTTGCGAGTCAGATCAGACATGTCGGTTTCGATACGTGCGACTTCGCCTTGCAAGTTCTCAATCTCTCGATGAGTGCGTGCAAGTTGCTGTGGTCCGCCACGGCCGATGTAAGCATTGATTTCTTCGTTTGCCTGGTCGAGCTGGCGCACAGTGTCGGATAGCTTGGCAGCTTCGTCGTGAGCACGTTGAACGCGGTCGTTGCCACGACGGTTGACATCATCGTACTTATACTGCGCTTGCTCGATCTCGGGGTCGATGTTGTTGACGTCCTGATCGAAGCTGCGTATGGCCTCACGTTGCTTGTTGTTCTCCTTTTTGAAGTCTTCCACTCGATCGGCAAGATCCCGCTTCTCCTTCAGTTTTGACTGTGCGCTGCTCAGGTCCGCGTTGATGTCACGTACGCTCAGCTCTAGAGTCGAAATCAGGTTACGTGACTTGTCCCTGGCAGCAGTAAGCTGGTCCAGCATTGTCCTGGCGTTGCGGCTTTCCTCGGACACACGCCTTAGGTCAGTTTGAATCGCGTCAATGCCCCGCGAAAGTCCAGCAGACTTTTGCTTCTGTGCCAATTCTTTGATCTCCGCTTCGAGTTCATGTGCTCTGCTGAAGTAGGCAACAATGGTCTGCACCTCCTTTGACAAAGACTCAACCTCTTGCTTCGCGGCCTCCAGATCGTAGATAACAGCATCCTGATCTTCAAGCTGTTTGTTGAGGGTATCGCGTTCAGCAGTCAGCTTGGTTAGGTTAGCCTGGAGCGCTGGAAGTTCAGTCTCGCGGAGACGAGTCGCTAGTTCATAGCTGGGTTTAGCCTTGCGAGCAGCCTCGAGCTCAGCCATGATCTCATCTACATTGTCTGCTTCCATGTTCTTCTTCGCTTTTGCAATAATCTCCTTGAGACCGCTAATGAAACCTGCAGTCGTGAAGTCCTCCTCGTGATCATCATGAAGTGTCCGCTTACAAAGACGGCACATGTTGTGTTTCTCAGCGTATTGCAGGCATTTGCTCATGTAGTCGATCTGTGCATCGAATTTGGCTTTGTCCGAAGAGGACGCCTCGTACTCATCCTCTAGCTGTTGCAGAGTCTCGTCAAAATCGGAGACATCATCCTTCTGGATAGACTCTTTCACAGTCTTTTCGTACTTTTGTAGGTCAGCACGATTCTGCTTCAATTGCGACTCCAGGCTTGACAGCTGGAAGTTGACCTTGTCCAACGTGGTCTGCGCAATGTCGCGGCGAGATCCAGCCTCCTTGACTTTGCCTGCCTTCTCTGCCAGCACCTGCTGGAAAGTCGTCTCAAGGGTAGCGGGATCCCAGTCAGAGTCGACCAGCTGCGAAAGGCGCTGGTTGTGAACCTTCTTCATGGTTGCCAAGCTGTGTTGCTGGGTTTGTAGCTCCTCGCGCTTGACGTCAATGGACGCAGACTCGCGCGCCTGCTTCGAAGCGTCTCCAAACTCAGTTGTCAACCGCTCCTTCTGGTCTTCGAGTGTTCGTACGTTGTTGGACGCTTCGGAGATGCGTTCGTCGTAACGTTCTGAGCTCGCCGCGGTAGTCGCATTCTGAAGCTGCTTCTCGACATCTCGCTTCTTGTCTTGGAGAATGGCTTCGCTACCCTCATCCGCCTTGATGTGGTTCATGGTCTTCTGGAGGTCGGATATACGCTTGTCGTTGTTCGAGATTTGACTCCGCGCAGAGTCCTTGCTCTGGCTGAGTCCTGATTTACGTGTTTTAAGCTGGTTAAGACTGTCCTGTGCTTCACGTAGGTCACGTTGCGTCTCCTCCCTAGCTCGATCTAAAGCTTTGTTCTGATCGCGCGACATCTTATTTAGGATCTGCTGGAACTCAACCACCTGCTTCTCGGTGATGTCATAATCGAAGCCTCGGATGGCATGTCGCTTAGCAGCTTCCTTGATCGAGTTCTCGCGTTGTTGGATCTGACGCTCATAATGCTCCTTTTGCGCCTCGTACTTGCCGATCTCGCTTTGCTTCACCCCAAGGGCGTCCCTGTTGTCTTCGAGGCCATTCTTGAGCTCAAGATACTGATTCCGGAACTCTTTCGCCTGGGTGGAGTACGTAGCGACGCGTTCTTCGTACTGGTCGAGCATGTCTTGGAGTTCCTCATCCGATTCAGCCAACTCCTTGATGCTGTCCTGAAGCTCTGCAACATTTTGCTTGTTAATGTCTAGAGTCATGCGCTTGGCACGCAGCTGTTCTACAATCTGTTCGAAGCGCGCAGCGTTGCTGTAAGCGTCTTTATGCTGTTGCTGCGCCTCGGTACACTTCTCATCGACGCCGTTGTAGTCCTCTCGCAGCGTCTCAATCTCGTCAAATAGGCGAGCCTGACGCCTCTCGCTGTCCGCTGCGCGAGTCTTGTCCTCCTTGGCGTTGGCCTCGATGATCTTGAGCTGGCCCAGTTCAATGTTCCGATCCTTGCGGATCTTCTTGATGTTGTCGATAGCTTTGGTGTATTTTAGAGCTTCGAAAATCTCGTCAAACTTCTTCTTAAGGGTGGTCGCGTCGCTCAAGGGCCACAGACTGTCCTCTTGATGACAGAAGATGACGTTTTCCAGGATGGCTTTGGATACACCGAGATATTGAGGGATGATCTGATCAAGCTCGGCAACACGGGTTGAGATGGAATGCTTCTCGCCATCTTTGATCATGAGTAATGAGCCTTCTAGGGTCTTTTGACTCCTTGTAGTCTTCTTGACGGTGACTTGCATACTACGGGTGGCAACCATGCGTACCCCAGAAGTAGAGCGGAAAGACAACTTGACCTGCGCCACACCATCCTTCTCATTTCGGAGGGATGGGTCGTGGATGAAAGCGCCTCCAGTCTTGCTGCTTGATGGCAGCTCGCCGGTAGTCGCATACTTGAGAGATTCGATAATGGTTGTCTTTCCAGAGCCGTTCCAGCCGACGATGAGTGTCAGGGGTGCAGTGAACTGTATGACCTCCCCTTTCTCTGGACCGAAAGAGCGGATGCCCTGAATCATCAGGCGATCGACTTTCGACATAATGGCGGCTCGCGCTGCCGGCGCTGCCTCTTTTCTTGGTGTCTGTAAGGCTGTGCTTCTGGTGATGGGAGATCGGCTATTCGTTGTCGTACAGTTGAACAGGCGGATGTTGAAATTGCACTCCGCAGCTGGGTTGATATGGCAGCGTGTTGTTTGCTGCCTGTAAAACAGGCGCGGTAGCCTGGACGCGTTGACTAGCGGCGCGGTATCACGTGCACAAGAGGGCCGTGCGGGTTGGGCTCACAAGCGCAACACTGTTGTCGTCATGCTAAAGTGCGGGTGGGCATGCAAAAAACATAGAAATCCCATCACGTCCTCGGGGAAGCTGCCCGCGCCTATCACCTTCGGCTTTATTGCACGACACCATATGCAGCATCGTGCATTTGAGACGCCATGGCGCAATATCAAAATAGCGGTGCAGAGGTACGCTGACTGGCCCTGCATCCTTAGTAAATCTGAACAACTGTCTCATGATTGTAGATGATGCCCGGAATGCCTATGCACCCCCAGACCCAGGAGTTTAACGGGCTGCCCATGGACGATGGCATGCAGTCGATGGACCTGGATATGGGGTCGCTGGACGGAGCCGAGGGCGGTCAGAACGGCGGATTCTCCTTTGCGGATCCACAGATGCAGGCTGCGAGTCTACCAGCCAGCAGCACCATGGGCGACATGCAAATGACAGGCGCAGGCGCTGGGCCTCTACCGACGGGCTTCGGCGCCCCCAACATGAACCCCTCTGGCAGCACCCTGACCGAGTTTACCAAGCGGCGGAACTGGTCGCAGCGCGTGCTCGAAGAGCTGCGCGACCTGCTGCACATACTGACTCCCGACGGCAGGGTCCTCTATGTCTCCCCCTCGTGTAAAGCGCTCACGGGATGGGACCCCACGCATGTCATGGGCCGCTTCATCAACGAGTTCATCCACCCCGACGACATTGGCATCTTCGTGAAGGAGTTCAACGAGTCGATCGCGTCCGGAAACCCTCTCCGCTTCTTCTACCGCTTCCGTAAGACGGACGACACATGGGTCATCTTCGAGTCCCACGGCCACCCGCATCTCAGCAGCGACCAGAACTCGTTTGCGCCGCCGAATTCCATCAACTGCCGCGGCTTCTTCATGATGGCGCGCCCCTACCCGACCAAGAACGCCGCCCTCCTCGACTCCTTCCTCGAACACAAGATAGAGAACGAGCGCCTCATGAAGCGCATAGCCGAGCTCAAGCGGGAGGAGCAGGATGAGCAGGATGACTGGACAAAGAAGACGGAAGGCGCCACCACCTCGATGACTCCTTCCGAGTCGCATGTCACGCAGAATATGAGCCAGGCAGATGCCGCATCCTATGCGCAAATGCCTCCGCCAGCCAAGCCAGTCATCTCCAACACCGCCCTCACCCGCCAGAACCTCGACGAAGCCCTCGCCGCGAGCAAGCCCGATAGTATCAACGATAAGATGATGCGGTATGAAGGCGCAAATCATCTAGAAACAATCGAGATGTTGACCGGCCTCCGGTACAGGGACGGCGAGCGCTCACAGGGTATAAGTACCGGTGACGCCAGCCCCAACCTCATCCGCGGCGACGCAGGCATACAAATATCGCTAGACCGCGATGGCAGAAATTCTTCAGACAAGAAGAAGAAGCTGAAACTTGCCGACGAATACGTATGCACAGACTGCGGCACATTGGATTCGCCGGAATGGCGGAAGGGTCCCAATGGGCCAAAGACGCTGTGCAATGCATGCGGATGTAAGTGCCCAACTCCAGAAGCAAGGACATACCATGTACTAACTGCGACAGTGCGATGGGCCAAGAAGGAAAAGAAAAAGCAACAAGGCCCTACCAGCATGCCAAGTGGAAGTGGCATGATGCATACACCATCCATGCCCATGCATAGCAGTACAGGCTCCAGCTAAACTACTGTTTTGCTGTAGTCAGTCGTGGTTCCTGACGATTTTTACGCGGCGTTTCTTATGAGTCTCTTTTCTCTATTTTTTCCGGGCTTCAGGGTGTTAGGCATATCAATGGCGTTGCATTCGTAGCTCTTCACGGGCTTTGGGTCAGGTTTCCTTACAATTAGCATATGATTCCCAGGGCCATGGATAGATTCGGGCTGAGCAACGATACCACTTCTTTGTAAAGGGAATTGCAAAGTGCTAAAATAACACTTTCGTACCTAGCCGCTTCATAATCGGATTGTATCATGACGTTATGTCGATAACGGAACCACCTTCTCTCGGAGACATGCTTCCTGTCATCGGCTGCACGAAGCTCTCAAATTCAAGACGGCCCGCCTTAATCGCCGTCATCATCCACGATCTCCACATGGCAAGGCTGATATGAACCATCTCTGACCATGGGTTGCGCCACCAACTTGTCGACCAATCTGGTGACTACATCGAGCGATGCTGCCCTCTCGACAGTCGATTCATCAATGTCGACGATGAGCTTTGAAGCAACATCTTTTGAACCTTTTCAGCGAACGCGCAGAACCGAACACAAGGACCTGGAAGTTACAGCACAGAAGATGTGTGACAAGCATCGTCTACGCGGAATGTGGATCTTCCACTTTCGTACTGAGCGACCAACACATCAAGCTTTTAGCACCGATGGAACTCTCCGAGAGATCTACTACGGTGTGCTGCGGCTCAGCGGTCGTCGTTTCTCTGATTCGTTCGTACAAACTGTTCGTTTAAACATGCCTCAGAATGTACGAGCCAGCCAATCAGACCACAAAGCGCGGGCGCTAGAAGCAGCAAAGTTGGCGTAAGGGCCGCAGCCGCTTGGAGAGCCCTGCCCCATTTTCCAACATCCAGATACATAATTTTGAGATATGCGAGCTGCGGTGTACAGCCTCGCTGTTTGCGGTGTTGGTATTGATCCGATATGTTTGACGTCTACAATGGAGATCATCAGGCATGACTTGAATGTCCATGACTACCACCACGATGACTTCAACGTCATTCGGCCAGGCTGTTTGATGGGTAACAACTTCCATGAGGCGTCTGTTGAGAGCTAAACAATCTCCACAGGGCGTAAGGACTCGTTGGATGTTGCGTAGATCTGCACTAGAGTCGACGTCAGCCCGGATGAAAGAAGCATCACAGCTATGAAGTAGGCAGTGCATACACTAGTGCTACCGTCTGTCATTGAAGCCTCATTTCGCCGTATAAGAAAGGGCAGTACTATCTTCTCGAGACGCATCACTCATCTCCAGGCTCACGAAGAGCTTTCCATTTCAACAAAACTATCGTCTCTTCATCTGGCCTGTCATATACCAGTCATGTCAAACATGCTACTTCCAGTAGCCGCAGTAATCTCCTTACTAGCCCCTACTGTACTCTCCTTATGCCCACCACCAGGCCCAATTCTTCCACCTCCATCACTCGCTGCCCATACCTCCAACTTCAGCATACCAGATGCCGTCTTCAACAACTTCAGCTTCGTGCAGAACACCTCCTTTGCGATCCAAGCTTCGATCAGTAACACCACGGTCTTCCAATATGAGCACACAGCCCCTGGCCGTGAAGTCAATCAATCGCTCTTCGACACCAAGATCCGTTTAGCTAGTGCTACCAAGTTGATCACGGCACTTGCTCTGGAGTTGAGCAAAGACAAGATCAGCTTGGATGATCCAATTACAAAGTTCATCCCCGGCCTGAACGAGGAGTTCTACAGCGATGTAACCATCAAGTCCCTGACTGATCACACCTCCGGTCTTGGTCGCTTCGTACGTCCTCCACTCCTGCAGTCCTCACCCACACTCTGAACTAACACACCATCTCAGGGTTACACGACAGACATAGCATTCGGTCAAAACGCCACCGCCCTCGGCCTCCCCAAACTCAACAACAGCCTCCCAGGCTGCGACCCCATCCCCGGCGGTCGGATGTGTACGCCCCAAGAAATCCTCGACGAGTTCAACAACCCAGTCTACGCCCCACACTCCCCTTCCTCCCGCGCCATGTACAGCAACATCGGTTACATCCTCCTCGGCAAAGCCCTCTCAGCAGCGTACAATACAACCTACGAAGACGTGATCCAAACGCTCATCCTCGACCCCGTTGGCATGACGAGCTCCTCCTTCTCCGTCCCCGAAGACGACGGAACCGCCATCCTACCCCGCCGCCCCGAAGACAAAACCTGGTTCGTAGCTCCCTTCGGCAACTTGAATCCAACAGGCGGCTTATGGTCCACCCCCAACGACATGCTCGCCCTGCTTGACGCGCTCAAGAACGGGGAGCTACTCAGCAAAGTAGCATTAAGGGAGTGGATGCAGCCCACCACTTTCCTACGCTCTCTCCACCAATACGTCGGCGTAGCCTGGGAAATCTTCCGCATCGATGACCTTTCGCTCGAGTTTCCGCGCGCGATTGATGTGTATACGAAAGCAGGTGGTGTACCGGGGTATGGGAGCTATCTTGTGCTGATCCCGGAATACGACATCAGTATCACGATTAATGCGGCGGGGGGTGAGACGAGTTATTCGAGTATTGAGTTGTTGGATACAGTTGTGAGTGCGTTGGTTCCGTGGGCGGATCAACTAGCACGTCAGCAGACTGGGGAGAAGTACGCGGGGAGATATGTGCTTGAGACGGCGTCTTCGAACGATACACTTGTTTTGTCTTCGACGTCGGGACCGGGGCTGGCTATCGAGGAGTTGAGCGTCAACGGCGTTGATGTCATTGCGGCTTTGGCTATGAAGCAGAAAGTTCCGCTGGACAACTTTAGCGCGAGGTTGTACCCGACTGATCCAGATTCTCTGGGTACCCAGAACGAGAATTGGAGGATGCTACCTGATCAGATCAGCCCGGCGAAGAAACTGTGGGCGGGGTTGGAGTGTATGAGTTGGAATAATGGGGATTGGGCGAGGTATGTGGGGGAGCCGCTTGATACGTTTCTGTTTCATATGGATGAGGACACTGGGAAGGTTGAGAGTGTGGAGTTACTTGGTTGGAGGGTGAATTTGGTAAAAGTAGAGTAGCATACTACTGCCCATTTATAGCGGTAAATTGGGAGCATGGCTTTAGTAATCTGGAAACTCGGTATCAACACTACTTCTCCATGCCTGTAGACCTCCTTTGATATCACCAATATACCTCTTCCCTCCCGCATCGAGTCCAAGCTCTTTCATCTTCTTGACTGTGACCTGCGAGTCGTTGCCTAATCTGCACACAACGAAGATAGGCTTCTCAGACTGTCGTAGCATCTTAGCCCAACCCTCCTCTTCGACAGCGGACGCAGGCCCTCGGGTAGCTGAAACTGTAGAGAAAGGCACATTTATACTCCCGTCAATATTACACAGCTCAAACTGTACTTTCTCCCTGACGTCGACTAGCAGATGGCTTTCTTTCTTCGATACTGTTCCCGTGAAAGGATTAACACCTGATCGTAACTGCGCATAGTTCTTGGCTGATATGCGTTCTTCGGGGGCCAGTGGATTAGTATCTGGAAGTAAACTACCGCAGAACTGAACATAATCCAGGCTTCCAGATTCCAGCGCTTCCGCGCTAATCGTCGCATGCGTAGAACACGCAGCGCACTTAGCCTTCCGACTCCTGAGGCGTATGGATCGGAACATCGGATTTGAATAGGCTGAGAAGAGAAGAAGACTCGGCGGCTCTGCGGGTGTTGTAGTAGGTTTGTGGGTGAGGACTTTGATCGCTTCGAGTGCTTGCAACACGCCCATTACGCCGACGACGGGTCCTAGAATGCCGCCGTCGCCACATGAGACGACGGATTCGGGGGGTGGTGGCTTGGGGAAGACGCAGCGGTAGCACGGGCCGCCGTTGGGGTCGCCGGCTGGTAACGGGGGGTTGTTCAAGACCATCATTTGGCCGTCGATGCGAAGGGCTGAGGCTGAGACGAGGGTTTTGCCTAGGAGGACACATGTATCGGATATTAGATAGCGCGACGCTGGTGTATCTGTGCAATCCAGGACCAAATCATATGACTTGAAGGTCGAGATCGCTGTCTCTGGGCTCAGTCGGGATATGTGAGGGATGAGTATGACATTAGGATTGAGCCTAGTCTAGTAGGTTAGCTGAGTCTCTTGTAGTATAGACTGGTGGGTAGACGCACGACTTCAGAGACACCATCGCGCTCTCGACTTTGGTCATTCCAACTCTGGCCGTTGAGTGTAAGATCTGTCGGTGCAAATTCGACTCTTCTACCACATCGCCATCGACTAGTCCGACGGTACCAACTCCTGCTCCGACGAGATACGCAGCAGCTGGACAGCCAAGACCACCAACACCTACGATGAGTACACGGGCATCTTTCAGGCGAAGCTGACCTAGAAGACTCGAGCTCAGCGCAATTCCAAGTCTCATTGTTCAAAATGTGACGCACCTTTCAGTCCGATCTCAAGCATAATCAGCTGCCTTCCATATCTCTTGTATTCGTTCTTCTCCAATGGCCATCTTGGCGCATCCTCGGCTGCAATGCTTGCAGCCTCCGGCGCCTTTTGCTCTGGCTGGAGGATCGAAAAGACCTCGTCACGAAACTGATCAGGGACTCCAAAGTTCATGTCATGATCCATTGGATTTGTAGGATCAGTCGCTAGCGGCCTTTTCTGCGGCACAACCTTGCCCTGCTCGCGTTGATTGTGTTCCGCTTCCGCCAGCTGTTGACGCAGATCTTTGAGTGTGGCTTCGCATGTTGCAATTTGCTTACGCAAAGAGCTGATTACCGACATCATGTTGGTGGTGCCGGATGATTTACCTACATCGTGACTCTGGCACGTCCACTGCGACTGGTATGCTTGTGGCGGCCCGATGTGGGGTCGGGTCGTCGCTACCACATGCAGTTCCGCAACGCTAGTCTCGATTCTGGTGGGGAGTGCACGTGCGCTGAGCCCTTCACTCAGACACGACGCGTAGTCTCGTGGCCATGGTGAGTAAGACGCGATTTGCACAAGCCACGTTTGGCAGAAAAGATAGATAGAATTCGTGTTTCACCGATCTATGAGCGCTGTATATCCTGGAACCAGAATGTAGGAGCCTACGTGACGATGACACAAGCGTGATGGAGTAGGGAGTCGCCACGCTATAGGACACTACAGCATGGCCGTCCGCAAATGATGCGCAGCTCCAACGAGTCTTTGAAGCTTCCACGAGTTTAGGCAACATTTTCTAATCATCTTGGCTTCGCCTTGTGCATACTTGAGCGGGCAGCCTCTAGGAGAGCTCTCAAGGCTGCGGTTCACAGCCATTGCATCTTGTTGGCCCGGACTCTCAGACCGCAGAGCAAATGGCGAGGCAGAGTCATGAAGGCTTGCATATGAGGCAGTCGCAGTGGCTCATGGATGCATAAAGACACATTTCGATAGAACCTAGCCTAACCATCTTGACGCCTAAATGATGACACGCAGCGGGAAATTGCAGATTGACCTTATCGTTAGACTTGAAATCGCTGATACACGTACTTTTGCGCGAGTGTGGCTCTGCTTTCAACCTTCTGGGCAGTTGGAACCGTGTCGCCGTCCTTTCGCAACCGATAAATGGCCAATGTAGCCGGAAGACGATTAACGAATCTGACATGCTGACGGTAGACTGGTGGATAGATTGCACATGGCCGAATGATGCGCCGGATATGGATATGGAATGCAAGTCAGAAATGTCCCGTAGGCACGATTGGCTGCTGAAGATGGCTTTTGAGGCGGAAGTAGGGCGTTTTCCATGCATCATCCTGCGTGGGTGTCTGAAAGCAGGCTGAAAAAACTTCGGCGTGTGGCAATACGGCTCTGCTGATGCCAGAAGGCTTGGACATGAAGGCATACTCATGGCTGTTGTCAGGTGAGCATCTAGATCTCATTCCTGTTAGATGCAGCACCTGGCCGAGCGATGGCTCAGCTCATGTTTCATGGTAAATTCTCCTATTATAGCTAGCAGCTCGAAAAAAGCATCATATTGACGAATGAGTGAGCAAGTGGGCTGAAGCACGTTGACCCGGATCTGCGGGCGCGAGGGTCGTGTTCACGGGAGAAGCACCGAATGAGCGGGACCTGGGCATTCGTCGCGATCCATTCGTTACCAAGACTCGGCGGGCGCAAGATGAATGTCAGCATGCACCAGCTTGAATGATATCGCCATGTGCGATGCGCGATGATCTGTGCTGCAGGCCTCCGAACGAGGGGCGAGACAAGGCGGCGATAGGTCGCCGAATACTTATCTTTCTGCAAATGATAATCGTAGCCTCGGCGCAGTGCGACAAGAGATCCTTGTGCTTTGGAAGCTGGGCGTCCCCACAAGAGCGAGAGAGGTTCACTGTTCGTAGTGTTAGTGGCACCTCCACTTTTTGGTTTGGTTCAGAGCTGACCTTCCACCTTAGGCCGTCGAATGGTCTGGAAGCCGCACGCAAATGTCAGCTGCTGCTACTGGCTTCGCAGTCCAGCAATTTCACTAGTAGCGACTGCTTAAGGGGTTTCAATTGACGTATACCTGGTCAGTGTGCCGTTTCCCTAACACTGTCCTGCCGCCCCCGCGGAACAACGGGAACGAACCTCAGCACCCCGCACCGTCGTCATATCCATCACCAAACTCAACCACTCCACGACGCCATGGTATCTGTTTGCGCGACATGTAAAGGTCTCCAGAAGCACCTCCATGGATCGGACAGCGTGCAAGAGAATGGGTCAGATTCGTTCGTTTGGGTAGACACGACGCTGCCAAATCTGAGGTCTAGGTCAAGTTCCTGCCGCGCGTGCGCGCTCCTCCTCAATGGCATCCTCCTACACCACGACCGGTTCCCAAACATCAACGAAGATAATGTTAGAGTGAAGGCAGAAACATTCAGGCCAAAAAATGGAAAAGTTCCCCAAGAACATCTTTCAGTTGAGCTCCGATGGAAAGACAACGACGACCATGACGATTGCCACGAGGACGAACATGAACATGCGGCAGGCCATGCAGATCTGAAACTCGAGTTCTTCACCGATGGAGGTATGCCAAATTTTCTTCCGACGTGCTTCAGTTGATGTAATGACGGTCGCGGTCGTGGAACGATCACCTACTGCTAGCTCATTCGCTCTGCAGGAACGCGTGGACTGACAACACCGCAGACGGCCAGTCTCCTTTCTCCGCCATTGGGCGAGGAAGACATGTGACAGATAACCCACTACAGGGTACTGGTCTAGCAACAGCTCGAGACTTGATAAAGACCTGCCTAGAGACCCATGTTACATGCAGTCGCCGAGGTAAACCGACCACACTGCCGAAGCGCGTACTAGACTTGTTGTCGCGCGACGACTCCAAGAGCATGCGCTTGCACGAAAGTGAATACGTCCAAGACGAGAGGAGATATGAACACGGCGAGTATATCGCCTTGAGTCATGTTTGGGGGCTGGCCAAAGGGATCCCGAAAACTACGTTAGCAAACCTGCAATCGCACAAGAAGAGCATTCCATGGTCAACATTGCCAAGAGCATACCAAGAGGCCGTCTTCCTCACCCGAGCGCTTGGTTTCCGCTGGCTGTTCATCGATAGTCTGTGCCTCATACAAGATGACGTCCAAGAGAAGCTTGAAGACTCGCTCCAGATGGATGAGATCTTCGGCAACGCCTTCCTGACGATTGCGGCGACCTCCGCATCCGACAGCAGCACTCAACCCCTCTTCCCTCCCAAAACACAGCCATTCAAGATCCAAGCAACGGACAACAAAGGCTCGCTACATAAGATCAATGTGCGGGAGCAGCCGAGTCATTATAGTTTCAAGGCGCCTTTTGACGGAAATGCTCACATGAACGAGTGGGAGCTACCCTTCAACATGTCCGAAGAAGCAAATCTACACACGCCCCTCTTGATTCGCGCATGGCCATACGCCGAACGCCTACTTTCGCCGAGAGTGCTACATTTCACCAAGAGCGAGATGATATTGGAATGCCGAAAAGGTTACCAATGCGAATGCGGGCGTATTGACGACGGTATATATGATACGCGGCCATGCGACCAGGTCAAGCAGGAGTTTGGCAGAGTCCTACACGAAACAGCCAACAGGCCACAGCAAACTAGCAGCAACGGAAACATGGGACACACCCGGATGGACAGCATGACAAACCAACTGGCCTCCACAAACCTCACCAACGGCGCTCAGCAAGAGCTGTTACGCAGACGCGAAGAAACACTTCAACTATGGTCCTACATCATAACCGAATACACAGCACGCCATCTCACCTACGACAGCGACCGCCTGATAGCAATAGCCAGCATCGCAAAAGCCCTCTCTCTGACCCTCCACTCAGGTTATATAGCTGGCCAATGGACCTTCAGCACCCTCGGCCTCCTCTGGTATCCCAACGACAGTTCACGTTGCCGGCGCCCGAAACTAGCCCAAGGACAAAACGTGCCAAGTTGGTCGTGGGCCTCAGTCGAAGGCTCACCTATCTTCTTCGACAACACAAGTGCCATGGATCTTGCGTGCAGAGCTTCTTTTGGTCCAAAAGGCAAGCGTGCGAGTGCTTGGTCACCTATCATGGGCGAACCCCTCGAACTTTCAGGTGCGATGACCGCAGAAGTCGTTTTTCACACTTGTCCATCTCCCTCTACATCGTCAGACGCCCCACCCTCATACATGCTAGCCAAAAACGGCATGACCGTCGATTTTACCCCCGACGTCGTCCCTCCCCGCGGCGAAGACGCGCTGCAAGATGGCGAAACCCTCGTTTGCGTCCTCGTTAGCATGACATTCCGTTCTTCTATCGTCGGTATCGTCCTCAAGTCTTCGTCTTCATCGGGGAACAACACGTTTCGTCGCGTGGGTAGACTGGAGTGTTATGAGTGTACGCCTGAAGGGACGGAGCAGGAGATGAGTGAGGATGCTGAGGCGCTGTTTGAACATTGGTTTCCCGAGATTCAGGATATGACGCAGTTGGATAATTATCCGCAGAGGACTTTCACCGTTGTCTAAGGGCATGGTTGGAGGGCAGGGTAGTGTAACCTGAGTTATTGTTTGAGGGAGATTGGGATGGAAACAGCCATGTTGGACTTGTGGGGTTGGCTGGGCTTTCGTTCGTGCTTTGTGTATTCGATACCCCCTTTGCTACTGGCACATCACGGTAGCACTTTCATTGTTCGTGTTTGGATGTGGGTAGAAGAGGCTGGGAGCTGGTATTTCCACAGGCATATATACTAGGTATCATACACAGATTTGATTTCCCAAAAATCCACCCTAAAAGTCCTTACCCAACAACCTCAACAACAAACCTCTTTCCACTCGCACATCCCTCAATCATCCCCCTCAGAACCACGTCAACACCCTCGAGCCCCTCCACCATCTCAACAACCTGCCCACTCATCCACCCCTTCTCCATGCCAAATGGTAAATACATCCCCACAACCCATTCCATCAGTCCTTCATTCCCCTCCTCGTACAACGAGTCCGACCACGGTTCAAAAATTCTCTCTACACCCTCTGGCAAGCACTCCGGGCCGAAAGCAGGCTGGGTAGTGAACAGCTTTCCCCCACCTTGGGCGACCAGGATGCGGCTTGTGAGAGGGATAGTTTGGGGGGTGGATATCATGTCGACGACGATGTCGTATGGTCCACGCGCTTTGAGTTCTGCAATGACTCTTTCGGGGGGTTGCGTATGGTCGATGACCTGATTGTCACTGCCAATGAGCGAACGTACGCTGGCCATGTGCAGAGGCGACGACGTGGTGGTGACATCGTACCCCGCGCATCCAAGGTATTGCACTGCTAGACGGCCAAAACTGGAACTTCCGCCGTATACCAAAATCTTCTCCTTCTTGCTTGTTTCAATCTGTCTTACCCCCGCCTCATCATCATTTCGTTGTTCGTTCTCCCTGAAATCCGGTCTGCGCAGTCCCAATCGCCCAGAAAATAGTCCAGGCACACAACTCGCGTTCATCACCACCGCCACTAGCGCCTTCTCCTCACTGTCAGTGAACCAGCCTGGTACACTTATAATAATCTTCTCACCCGCAGCAACAATAGCGTAGCGTTGATACGCGCCATATGCATTTCCCTGTGTACCAAATCTCTTGCTAATGAGAACGCGGTCGCCAACTTGGTATTCCGTGACTTGGGAGCCGACAGCCGAAACTGTACCCGTGTAGGAAGAGCCTGGAATGAAAGGGTAGGAGGGCGGTGGTGGCGTTGCTGTAGATGCGAACGTACGAAGTTAGTATGTGTCTTACATGCATTTCGTACTATTAGAACTTGCCCTGTTTAGAAATCTTGGCTTCGATAGCATTGACGCCTATAAAATGCACCTTGATAAGTAGTTCATGGGGTGCAGGGCTAGGAATGGGCAGTGATTGCACGACGAGCGGGGATCTGGGGGAGGTGAGCACAGCGGCTTCGTTCATTTTGGGGATGGGTTCCGGATAGGTGGGTAAAGTACATGGTGGGAGGGACTTTGATGATGATGGTATGTTATATGCTTTGATGACTTGCTAGTTGTCTGCGGCTTTTTGGAGATAGCTATTGTGTATGGTCCTCGATGATTAAGCGATCATCCTGATACGGAAACTTTCCGCCGCGTATTACGCAGCACGAAGCGGGTTGCTGTTCATTCGCGGAATTACTATTCATGTATCCACTAATTGGTGTACTCTGTGTGGTGCTGACATCGGCTCAGACTGTAGGTGCTGTAGAGCTTTGAAATGCGGGAGAGCAGGTTGCCTGATCTTGACGTATTAGACATGACGGAGATCTGGTACCAGGTCAGATTGCCTTGGACTATTCCAGCCAACATCTTATGCTTCCGCGGGTATCTCTTGTGTATTTCTCGCCTGCCGATGTGTTTGACTGAACCATTGGTGTGGTCTTCGTCCTTGCATCTCAGACGCCTGGCCTTCACTGCTGCGCGAACTCGGGCTTCGTTTGCATATTACTCTGCACATGACTCTTGAGTGCCGCCCAGCGATCTTTCACCGCATCAGCGCTCTGTGTCCCGTTCCCACTCCCGCCCACCAGCTGTGCCAGATTTGCATTGAACCTCTCCTTCTCCAACTTCTCCAGCTTCTCTTTCCGCTTCTTTGCACCCTTCGTTTTCTTCATACTGTCGGGCATCTTCTGAGGTTGCACTATCCGCGCTTGGCTTGTTTCGAGCCCATCTTCTCCAGAATCTGGGAGTGCGTCCGCGAGCGACTCGAGGTTTGCGATGAGCTTGTTGTTGGGGCGTCGCCGTTTTTGGGTCTTGGCAGAGGACTTTTCGATCTTGGACACGAATGAAGAGTGTTTGATCTTTAGCTTGTCGCGCTTGGAGGATGGGTACGAGGGAATGCCGTCGGGCTTTGGGAGAGTTGCTGTGGTAGTGGTGGGACGGGCGGCGCGAGCGGACTTTGCGCGCGCTGTTGTGCGCTTCTTTATTGGTGCCTGGGGATAGATATGAGTACATGTAGGGTATTCGTGAGCTATGAGAGAACCATACCATTGCTTTGTTGTGTGAGAGGAATACTAAAGAGTTCCCGTCGCGTAGGGCTGGTGGAACGCTCTTGCGCAAAAGTTCTTATCGATAACGACAAGTGCCGACGTCAACCACCCGGTCCGTGCAACCTTCACAGACACTGGACGTACAACTCGGCTTCCGTCTCACAACACTCCATTCGGATGTAACTCTCAAGGCTGCACAAGAGTCTCCAGCTCGCACGCAGCTAAGACTGTGTGACTTTCTCCGACGTGGTCCGACGGCAGCATCGCCTCAGTGAGCTACCATGGCTCCCTCATCATGCCCCTTTGCTCATCCTTGTCGCATCCACCAGACCAAGCCATGCCTCACTCTTCACAGAAGCTTCCGGTCATCATGCACATGCTCCTATAGCTTGAAGAAACGCGTTCATCCCCACCAGGGTGAAGTCCGAAAGAGCGGCCTCACTCGACGCCACCAACAACGAAGCGGACTTCGCACCAAAAAGCAAGCTGCATCTCTTCTCGCAGTCGTGTCATCTGGTCATGCTTCAACTCTTGGGTGGATCTACTTCCATGAGCACTCCGGTAAGACTGGAGCACATCGGACTTGGCTAGGTGCGGCCCGTTCCCGATCACCGTTCTATTGGCTGTCAATCGCATACGATGCCCATCGTGATCACCAATAATACACTGCGAAGGCATAATTTCCCTTCGTTTCGTTTCTTACAAGGATGATTTCTATCGAACATGTCATAGAAGCGATTGCCACAGGCATGTCAAGGTATACGATAGAGTATTGCTTTTTTACATCCCCAAACCTCTCCTGAAACGCTATCATCTAACCTCAGCTGCCACTATCCGCGGGTTGGCAGCGCTCCGGCATGTACAACATCCCCGTATCACTGTGGCGCCACCCTTCATCCCAACACTACGGACCTGGGCTCAGCTCCACGACGACTATCTAGCCTGGATGCAGGCACGCGTGCGACCGATCAGCATCGAATCCCCCCCTCTGCCGTCATTTTGCCCTACGATTCGCTACGGGTCACGACTCGCCTCCCTTCCGCTTCTATTTGTGGTTCTCTAGACGAAACTATACGAACCCCTCATCGTCTCTGCCGCGACAAAAGGCAATCATTCGCATGAACTGCAAGATGCGTAGTCCTTGTGACTCGGACTTTAAGGGAGCATTACGAACAGTGTATGCAGCTTGTCCGGAGTTTGAGAACATCTGGCCTCATTCATACTCTTGTAGCCGCCGACATGCTATTTCGATAAAGATTCATCAAGGCTCATTTCAATGCAATCTCCGAACCGCGTCTACAGCAAGTCACGATGTGCGTTGAACAAGCCCAGCAGGACAATGCGCTCATTTCAACTCACAATCATGGTACTATTCTGGTAATGGTAGCTTGGTTTCTTGCTTGCCTATTGGTATGATTTCCTTCTTGGTATCCATTCCAATGCTGACATTTGGCTCAGGCTATATGCACTGTAGCAAGAGTTGTCGCTCGATACAGGTCTAAACATCTTCGCCACCTCTCGTCGACAGATGACGTGATTATCGTTACCGCGTCGGTCTTTGCCCTTGGAAGTACCGTGATAATATCCACGGCTGTTGATTCGGGCTTAGGGAAGAAAAAGTGTCTTTTGAGCGATGACGACCTGGAGCATATCCAACTCAAGCTCTTTGTCACGACGATACTCTTCGTTTTGACAATAAGCATAACCAAAAGCTCGGTCCTGCTGTTCCTCTATCATTTGGCCGATAGCACACTACGCAGGGCAAGCGTCCTCCTTGTCAGTACACTGGTCCTGATATGGACCATTGCAGTTTTGGCAGGCATGGTCTTCCAGTGTGAGCTGCCGACGCCGTGGCTGGTCTGGACGGGGAAATGTATCCCATTGGTGAGTCTGATCGTCATATCGTGACTGGGCTCATATCTGACTGTGATTTAGGTACCTTTCTGGATGATCGCCACTGTCAGCGATACTGTTCTAGAAACAGCTGTGATCGCGCTATCCGTACATCACATATGGACACTGCGCGAGTCTTATCGTCAAAAGACCTTAGCGACACTCCTCTTGTCCATGCGCTTCATGTGAGCGAAAATCTCTCTCTCTAGTTACAGCCTTACTGACAGCCTTTTTAGCCTAGTTGCTGCATCCATCATTCGTCTAATCTACCTTCAACAAGCATACGGTCGCAATGGAGACCTCGCCTTTGACTCCTTACCCTACGCTGTCGTCACACAAGGCCAGACCACACTGGCCGTCCTCATCATTTGCAGTCTCTGCCTCAAGCCCTACTCTCGCTTCCAAGCATCCCCATCGCAGTCTCCAAATCGCAAACCAGCACACTCGAAACAGTGGTCTGGTAGCATCACGGTTGGCGGCACGCCCTACGAATCCTACAACTCTTTCCCACCGCCAATCACACGAGAGCCTCTGTTGTCTATACAAGCCAGTATGTCAACACCAAACTCGCCGGCAGGATCCAGGCACTCGCTGAACGAAGAGATATTGCTGCCAGATACACCGGTACCGCCGCGGTCTGCTAAAAGGCCTCCTCGGCCGCCTCCTCGGCCGCCTCCTCCAAGTGAGGAGCAAAGACCGGATCTTAGTATGTTTACTAGAAGTCCTACTACACAGCAGTCACTAGTAGTGACAAAACTTACTCCTTGTCGAGAAAGAGAAAGGGGCATGGACCTGAAGTCGAGGGGCTTGTTAATTCAGTAAGACGTATGTACGTAGGTTCCTTTACAAAAGATACAAGGTAAACTGCTGGGTGGTTGCGACAAGTAGCTACAATGAATAACGCATTAGCCGATGCACCGTCAAGAACGCAGTGCCTTCAATACTGTCACGTACAACTCATTCTCATGAGTACAAAGGAATGTTTAAGCTCTACAAGATGCCGGTGTTATTATTTGGAGTAGTACATATACGCAACGAAGCGGTAGGTAGGGGTAAAAAAGCGAACACCTGCATGTCTCCCGACGCACCGACCACACTCAACACCCATCACTGGGTGCCTACAACAACGCAGCCAGACGTTCTCTTCAGGTCAGCAGCGATAAAACCTAAATCTCAATGAGCATATTAGCGTACAAGATCACCCAACGTGTACATGCAGGGTAGCTAGAGGCGCAAAAGCTTTACCACTTTCCCACACAATGACTCACCAGAAATAGCGAAGCAACGTTGAAAAAGCTTCGACGTCTACGACTTCCGGAACAGGATAGATGCCGAAGGTGCCGAGTAGTCTGGTACCTCCATGGGCAGTACGATACATACTGCACTTTCTCGACGGGTTGCAATGCCTGCTGTCCATCGTCCAACAAGGTACTTGGCATGCAGACGATAAAATGCCCGACGTCAGAGCCGCAACCACACTGAGTCCTTGAGGGTACCAATTGCAGTTCCGACACCCAGTAGCTAGAAACCACGTCGTTCGAGTCTCTGAAGTCCATACTACCTCTCATCACTTCCAAACAACCTCCTCTCTCTCTCCGCCCATCATGGCGACACGAGCGTTCGACCCCTCGAACGTCGACCTCACGACAGCGGACAAAACCCAAGTAATCTGCTACTTCACCGTCAGCGAAAACGAATACAACGGCATGCTCGGCGCAAGGATCTCCTCCATCTTTGTCATCGGCTTCGTCTCAACCCTCGTAACCTACTTTCCCGTTATTGCTCGCAGGAAGCCGTCTTGGAAAATTCCGCTCGGGCTCTACACCTTCGCGCGCTTCTTCGGGTCCGGAGTCATTGTCGCCACGGCGTTTATCCACTTGCTGGATCCGGCGTATGAAGCTATTGGCCCTGGAAGTTGTGTGGGGGAGAGCGGAGCATGGGCGGAGTATCCGTGGTGTGCGGCGATAGTGTTGACGTCAATCATGGCGGTGTTTTGTGTGGATCTAGGTGCGGAGGTATACGTAGAACGACATTTTGGCATGAAGAAAGAGGAGAGCGAGGTTTCCAACAACTCGTTTCTTCGATCTGACAGCAATAACGCCATCGCAATCGCCGCAGCCATGGTGGACCCAGAATCTCACAACCCAAGTCAACACCAAAACGGGGACCAAGACCACCGCAAACACACAGCAAGCCTTCGCAGCTACCCCTCTGAAACCTCGCTCTGCACCACCTCAACAACCGCAGCCCGTCTCTCCTTCGCCCAACAAATCGGCGCCTTCCTCGTCCTCGAATTCGGAATTATATTCCACTCCGTCATCATTGGCTTGAACCTCGGCGTCGTCGGCGACGAGTTCAAAACGCTCTATCCCGTTCTGGTTTTTCATCAATCCTTCGAAGGGTTGGGTATCGGCGCCCGCTTGTCCAACATCTCGTTCCCCCGCGACAAGGCCTGGATGCCATGGGCGCTTTGTGCGCTATATGGCCTTACGACGCCGCTGGCTATCGCGGTGGGATTGGGTGTTAGGACGACGTATCTACCAGAGAGTAAAGCTAGTTTGGTGGTGCAGGGCGTATTGAATGCGGTGAGTGCGGGGTTTCTTATATACAGTGGATTGGTGGAGTTATTGGCCAAGGACTTTTTGTTTGATAGGGAGAGGACGAAGGATTTGGAGAGACTGGGGACGATGGTCGGGTATGTGTTTCTTGGGGCGGCGGTTATGGCTTTGATTGGGTGGTGGGCTTGACGGGGGCTGGAGGTGTGAGACTGTAGATTCATGTCACGGATGCATGAGTGATGTAGTAGCTAGTCGGTATTCGGATCGTTTCCACAATCCAAGCCTACCCTGACACCGCACCGAAGCATTCCACACTCTCTCATGCCTTCACACCATACACTCTTTCAGTCCTCCCCAGAGGAGTACAAAGCCTTCATATTCTGCAAATCAGCAATAATCCTATCGATCTGACCAACTTCCTCCAGTCCAACCACCTGCTGATAGATCCCCGCAACGCTGATATTCCAATCCGTCGTCTCATCATAGAAGGAATCATACGAAGGCACCGAGGATGGTCGCAAGGACAACTCATCCGAAGCCCCACCGGGCGGCGGACCAGGTGAGGAGAAGACAGAGGATGGCGACGGCAAGAAACCTACGGGCGAACTTGGGGAGCGCAGGGCTAGCGGCGCGGGACGGTCGGGTGCTGATGTTGTTAGTAAAAAGGAAATCTTTGGGGGTTGGGGGTGGTGTGGCGTACTATTGGGAGGGTAGTCTCCTCGTCCACCGGGGGAACCGAGGGATGTCGATCTCAAAGCCTGCGATCCTATGACCTTTTCTCGCTGGAGGTGAAGGGAAGGCGGCAAAGTGTCTATGCGTGGGCTGACGGGCGAGGAGAAAGAACGTGTTGGTGTTGTAATGTTCCGATGTATGCGTGACTCGGCAGCGGCTCGTTGTTTGAGGATGGTGGTACGAGATTCCCTACAAGTAAGAAGCAGATGTCAGTTTCCGTAATGCGAGAAAGCAGCTATGACATGTATATCCGGAATCGGTTAAATTATGGATGGTAATGAAACGCTGCTGGCAGTAGTAGACATGGGCGAGAAAGTAGGAGGTGATGAGCTGAGGGGGGAAAGACATGACAGAGGCATTTCAGAACATTGCGTGACACCAAGCAGTGCCCGGATAACGCAAGTTCCCAATGCGTGCGCATCTATGGAGGAGGATTTTTGAAGTGGGCTTAGCGTACGAGGGGCGGATATCGTGAACGTCGCGGCAGAGTTCTTCGAGGCAGAAGTTGTTGAGGCGGGAGAGGTTGTAGCCCTAGTTCTCACATTAGTTCTCTCGTATCAAGATCAGCAAGTGTTGCATGGGAAGCAACTCACGCGATCAAGCCTCAACTCCCTCAGATACTTCTTAGCTTCTTGAAAGTGCTCGTCGCTCTCTTTGATCCAGTATCCGAAGAGAGACAGGTGGACGTCTGCAATAGTCATGTTGCGGACTTCGTCGGCGTACTTCTTTACTTCTTCCGGGCTGAGGTTAACGTGTAGGGACTCGTTGTGGCGGTGTCGGCTGCTGGGTGTAGGACTCGCGAGGTCGTGGGCGACGTGTGTGCCTTCGCACTCTCCGCACTCGTCTCTGAAGCGCCGGTTATCCACGCTATCGTCGTAGTCGTATTGAGAGTAGTCGCCTGGGTCGGCGGTGAAGACAGTGTGATGGTCGTATCCGAGGTCTTGGAGCTTGACAAATTTTCGGTCTAGGGACTTATTAGTTGTGAATTCGAAGGGGAGGTCGAGGGTACACACGACGCTCTCGGATCTTTTCTCTGTCGACAACGCTCATGAGATCGCCAGGCGAAGGGATGTCCGAGCTGATGAGTGTGGTTTGCTGGCTGGTGCGCTCGGTCTCAGCGCTTGTGTCTCTGCTCTCGGACTCGGAGCTCATGACCTGCGTCAATGGGCTGCTACTAACGACACTGCTGCGGTTGCGCGAGAAAAGACTGCCAAAGTTCTTGATGCTACTCTTGCGAAAGGCCTGGCGCTGTTCTTGGTCGTCACAATTATCGCTCTTGTTCTCTTGAACTTTGGGCGGCTTTGGAACGAAGCTGTCTTTGCGATGCGCATTCTTCTGTGACTTGGCAAGCTGAGGATATAGCGACGGTACTGATTTTGGCGAGAAATTGGTCGCGGCTAACGTCGCTTGCATCTGCGCGTGCGGGAAATCCATATCTTGAGGTCGACGCAGCGTGTGCGAAAGCAGTGTAATGCGAGGATGGTGCTTAGCAAGAGATGCGGGTATAGACGTGTTGCTGCGTTGACGACGTGACGCCGTTTGCCGGACTGAAAAGTGACTGAAGGGCAGCTTGCGCACTGACATCAAAAGTGAAGGTGAATGTGAGCGTGAAGTGGAGTCAATATTGCTGGGTGACGTCCGAATAGAGCGATTGTACGGCCAAGAGCGGATATTGGAGAGAGGTAGAAAGAGGAGGATAAGATGTCTAGGTCTTCCACGCGTGCGATCTCTTCCATGGTGCAAATTGTACAGAATCTACTTGAGATGAACGTGAGTCGATGCGAAATGGAGCAGTCTATGATAAGGTCGAAGTGTCGGTCTTATCTTTCACTGGACTTGTAGCGCTATCTCGATATTGAGATGCCGGTGGAGTGTGGGCTCCAAAGGAGGCCGGTTGACTCTTCTTCCGCGATTCTGCATTGATCTCCTTCAGCGAGATCAGCTGCGCTGTTGTACATCTGGTCAAATCTGGTCGAACCCATTCGACCAGAGCGTGCCGCAGCAGTTTCGTGACTTAGGACGCAACTCGAAGAGCCTTTTACCAAACTAGATGTTCAATGTCAGCTGAGCATCGTTCGACGAAATCTGCCATTTCCGGGAAAGACTTACTGCCTCAAGCGTGATGTTGTCATCCACCTACATGCCGGAAAGCATAAAGTCCGGCGACTCGCAGTACGAATCATTAGTCCAGCCGTGAAGCATGCTCGGCGAACGTGGAAGGATCTGCGATGTCGGAGGAGGACTCACTGTCACTGTGATCCGAATTCGCAATGGGCTCAATCAGAGCCACACCAGGAAGTTCAAGATGACTGGTGTTAGAGTCTCAGGAGGTGACATAATCGCCGTGTCGAGGATATCCGACTGTGTTGTAGTCCAACTGTATGACTAATCACAGAGCGCGAGATTGGTTTTCACATCAGGTTCAGGGAATGATGATTGTCAATGAATTGGTGCTGGCATGGGGGGGGGTGGCACCCATAAGACAACAAGACCATGGTAAATTCGACTCAAAAGTTACTCATCTTGTTGAGGAAGTATAGTTGACACAAAAATGGAAGGAGGCAGCGTGCGAGACAGAACCTCGCTCATGAGACGTCCCAGACTTCCTCTTACTCATTTTACCTATGTCCACGCAGTCTCATCCCAGGAAATGAAGAACAGGCGCATCTCATCTGATGCAAGCCCCGAGCCTCCATGTGCTTTCCACTAGTCAGAGAAAATCAACAGCGATAGACGGTCCAAATCACTGCAGCATGTCTGGATGATCAGGTGCAAATCCACCGCTGTAGACGTCCCACACCCAGCGTTGGCTGCATCCAGAGGGCAAGTCATGCGCAGACAAACAAGTAGTGTTGCATGGTCAGGTGAGGTTCAATGGAGACATGTGTGCAAGCTGGAAGGGAGGGAGGGTCTGATGGCGGCTGTTGAGGGTGGTCCCGACGCAGAAAGTTCCTTGGCGACCCGCATCTTCCAAGTTCCTGCTCCCCGCTGAAAGGGCCGATGCAACAACACGTAGGATCGACTTATCTCGGTCAATAGCCGTTGAGAGTCAAGCTTCACCTGCATGCGGTTCTTCTTGGACCTCGTCTCGGCGATTCTGATCCTGCTGACGGCCCGAGCTTCTGTCCCGCGGCCTGCAACGACTGCGACACGCACCATTTCCTATCAACTACCCGAACGGCTTAAGAGCAATTTGCAACAATTCATCGCTTACCATGACCCCTCACGGACGCGCATCGACTTAATCTAAAAAGGCTCTTTGACGCACGACTGTGTCTACAACTAGTATGGCATTCGTACACTCCCACCAGTAGCCTGCATGGATCAACCTCGCACGGCGCTTATGGGTGTTACACAACACTGCACAACGGTTTCTGCCGCGAGCAAGATGGCTATACCCACTTTTTGACGACCTCGATATTGCGGCGCAGTCGTCCTTCGACCAGACGCGCCCGACACTGCCCTAAGTTCTAGGTCGTCATGGAGGACGAGTTGGGGGTGACCTCTGACCACTCAGGCCTTGGGGGCCAACTCTGATCAGCGAACTCATGATCCTAGCTCTAGGCTGAGCGCCTCGGGAACGAGAACTGGAGGAGCTTCAGGGCAGCGAACCACACACAAGAACGCCTTCTTCTTATGGCCTGACATCAGGTCCGAGGATCTTACTTACACCTCGAAACGGGCAGTGGTCATGCTTAGCTGAAGGGGCTCGCAGGCTGAAAAGGTGCTTCGTGGAGCTGATTCGCTAGTCCATGCAACAAAGTTGAGCGAATGGGGGCTGTGAGCCGCCTTGCTTCGAGACCGAACCACGACAGCAGATCCCAGCCGTTCAGGACAGCACCCGATGTTGGTCCACCCCCCGGGTCCCCGTTGTTGGCACTTCCCATCCTGCAGGCGCTGCTCTATATGAATTTGCGGCGTGGTTGATGCAAGTTGTCCGCCGTCAGCCAATGAAGCGCTAAAGTTAGCGCCCCCGCGAGTTGGGTCGCCAATCATTCCCTACTTAGCCGCACATCCAACGTCCTTCATCCTTTAGGAGCTTCTGTGCCATGTCGCGACGGCGGGGTCAGGACAGGCGGCTCTCGAGTTCTGACACGCGTATAGACCAACGGGCGTAGTCCCACATTGCCACCTCAGTAGCAGGAATGTGCAGAAAGATCTGTCAGCTGTAAACGGTGTGGTACGCACCGTCGCGGCGCGGATGACGCGTGTGTGGTGCATTCATATAACAAAACTGTAGCCTGCAGATCATAGGTTGAACCGCTTTCAGCCCTCTGTTATCGTTCTGTTTCGTTTGGAGGCGCAGCTTTGGTCTCTGCCGTCTGATTTACCCAGTTGACCGGTCTCGTTGCTACGCCGCAATACTCTCCTTTCGGTACTTACGTGTCTACGGGTTCCGCCTTCTTTTACATCCTTCGCCGCCGCCATTCCCGCGCTTCTTTTCGTATTGTGCGTCCCGTTCGCACTATCACACAACGCCTCCGCGATTTAAGATTACTACCTTCACTGGAAAGCTTGTCCCTAACTTGGCATTGTCACACCCATAGACATGGCTACACTGTCGGTGCCGTCGCCTAGCCTGGGCTCAGGTTCATTGGGTAGCAGCATTCACAGACCGCTCTCCACTCACGGGCTGCCAAAGCAGCCGCGTACAATGTCACCCGAACGACCACATCGTTTCTCCGCGAAAAGTTATCCTCCTCCAGCTCTTGTACACACTCCTATGACACCACAATCGTTGGGCCCGATGTCTCCCCCACCCATGTCAGCAAAGTCCTTTGGCACTTTCATCGACTCGGAACCGTCGACGCCAGCCTACTCACCCAGGATGGACCACCAGTGGGACGACTCATCGGTGGTGCTAGTCCGTCCCATGTCCTCGTCTTCCGAACCTTCCAGCCCTACTGAGCCAGTATGGCGCATGTTACAACCACTACCGGTGAAGGCCCCACCAAAGCCCAAAGCCAGCACCGCCAGACCTCAGTCCAAAGAACCAGTCACTACTGCCAATGAGATCTCATCACAGACATCACTTTCATCGCACCCTACTAAGGAAGCGAGCTACGCCAATCGTCCACACGCGATCAAGCTAGCAAGCCTATCACAACAAGATTTCCCCCCGAAGAGCGAGGATATTCCACAGGGTGATGTTACATCACCTCAGCCGACGGCCAGCACTCCCACGACGGCTGCCTTCGGGAAACTGGCAAACAAGATGAAGTTGATGCTACGGCGTAAGAACACGAACGCAAAGAAGAAAGAGAAGAAGAAGCGAGACTACGAAGAGGTAGACCGTATAGAGGATGTACACTGGACAGAGATGTGACCTTCCCCTTATACCGAATGTTTCGAACATCTCGAAGTCCTGCGTCTATTGCTACACACGGAGATAGGAAGGAGGCTGGACGCTACGACCCCTTGGCGGTGTATCGTGAGGAAGCATCCGGGAATTAATACAAGGCATCGGTGTCCGAGTGGAAATGGAGCTGTATCAGAACTACACATCAAGACTGTTGCTTATACTCGTCCGGTCAGATTAATGAGCTGCTGGCCACCAACATCACTCTTATCGGCGTATACGTGGCGTACTTGATGTTTCCCTTGGGTTTTGGGAGGCGTTTTCGATCCTTATGGCTTTCATGAGTTGCACAAGCAAGTAACGACGATACCCAATCCTTACAATAGTCTATTAGTAGCAACTATCTTTTTATCACTAAACTTGCAAAAACCAGTGCCGATGATCATGGAACAATGAGTTCTGACTAGAATCATCTATAATGATCACACAGAGACCATCAAACAGCTTGTATCCCACAAAGGTCTTCCAACTACTAGCTAGCGCGTGCCTTTCTGGACTCATCGTTTTCGTGCCAAGCACCTGCCCGGTTACTCCACGTGAAAGGGCGATCAAACTAGCGCGTGCACAGACCATCAAATCTAAGCTCCACAACGCGCAAGAAGCAGAACACATCTCACTCAACTTGCGATCCAGGTAAATTTATAGGTAAAATGATTCCAAGAAGGTTGGGAAGCGCCGTACGGCTCAAATGCGCCGGCAAAGCACAGCCTCAAACGCGATTACAGAGGCCACTAGCGGTGACGACCCGTGCTTTACGGCCACACACAGGACGCGTTCATACAAGTCCGTTATCACGTGCCTTCTCGCGGACAAGACTCCTCCAAACCCAGCATGAGAGCCCCAAGCTACATGGAGAAGAGTCTCTCCTCTCCAATACGCGATGGAACCAACCGACCCAGGACCCCGCAACCACACTCCTAGAATCACGCTTCCCAACCAAAACCGTCCTTGTACTCCTCACCCTAGGCGGACTAGCATACTACTTTGTCGACATAGTTGAAACCGACTGGACCGACAGCGTCTACGGTGCCTTTGAAACAGGCGATGATGCCTCCCAGCTCGCCCAACCCCTCCACTTCTACTCCTCAAAGGAAGAAGTCCAACACATTCTCGACTTCCACATCCCGGATCCCAGCGCCCCGATGAAAGACCCCGCCGTAGCGAAATTCTTCTCGGAGCAATTCGACAAGCTATGTTATGGGTGGATGATGACGCCGGACGACTCCAAAAAAGGCGTAGAAGGCATGCCAGACGTGCAAATGCCCATAACACACGGGTGTCGGTTCCGTAGTAACGAGCCTTGTGAGGATTTCTTCGCACTGGGAACGTCGCCTGGCCCCGGGCAAAACCTATGGAATTACTGGACGGTGCTAGATGGCCATGCAGGACGACATACCGCGTTCTACCTCCAATGGACACTAATCCCCATGGTATCCTCCGCGCTCAGCACCCTCACTCCCCTCGCCTCAAGCCACCAGATCGAAAGCAGTATAAAAACCGCCTTTCTCGCCACCGACAAAAGCATAATGGACCGCGCCAAAACAGCCGCAAACTGGTTCCCAGCCGCAAACGCCGCCGCCATCGCCGCTCTCACGCCCGCTTTCTCTGGTTCCTGTGCGCTACTCGCTGCACTCGATCCCCAGTCCAATAAACTCCGTGTAGCATGCACAGGAGACTCGCGCGCGGTACTGGGCCGTTGGGACCCTTCCACGCAGTCCTACACAGCAATTCCCCTCTCAGAAGACCAAACCGGCTTCAACACCAAAGAGGTCGAACGCCTAGCGCAAGCTCACCCCGACGAACCCTCCGTCATCGACCCCAAAACAGGCCGCATGCTAGGCATAGCCGTAACACGCGGTTTCGGTGACCATCGCTGGAAATGGGATAACGAGACTATCAAAGCGTGCCAGCATAAGTTCTGGGGTACCGCGCCTAGACCGGGGAATCTGACACCGCCGTATATGACTGCGGAACCTGAGGTTACGGAGTGCGATGTTGTGAGGAGGGAACCGCGGGATGGGATGCTATGTGGTGATGGCAAAGCAGAAGGGGGAAAAAGCGATTTCCTCATCCTCGCTTCCGACGGCCTCTGGGATAGAATCTCCTCTGCTCACGCCGTTGATTGCGTATCCCGCTATCTCGCCTCCCGCGCCCGTGGCGGCGGCTCCGTGAAACAAGACCCGGAACTCCTGCGTAACCCTCCCGCCTTCCCCTCCAACTTCTCCAGCTTAGATCCGGGTGTAACGTGCGACCCCGCGGCAGGCGAAGATGTAGATTGGAAAGCAGAGCCGCAGTATTTCGCGATTGAAGATGAGAATGCGGCGGTTTGTCTTGCGCGGAATGCGATGGGTGGGAATAGGAGGGGGTTGTTCCTTGGGGTGTTGGCGGGGCCGGAGCCGTTGAGTAGGAATGCGGTGGATGATACTACTATTATGGTGGTCTTCTTTGATAGGGTGGGAGAAGATGGAGGGAAGGGGAAGGGAGGTAAAAATGTAGAAGAGAGTAGGAGTGGGGATGGCGAGAAGAAGAAGAGGTGGTGGTGGCCGTTGTGAAGAGCGTTCTGATCTGACGTGAATGGGTAAAGGCGAGAAGAGGGACGAAACTAGAAGGGTAAGCATCACTCAAATGATGAGACATGGGTGGCTCCGTTATTTGAGTTCGGACTACAGATGCCTGGTGGCAGGCTATGAAAAGACAAGCAAGAGAGTAGTGATGTCGATATCCTCCCAATCTCAGTCAGTCGGGCCAAAACAACGCCTTCGACGCCTTCAACCCAAGCTATGCAAATGCTCCTTTCCCCATCCTCTCAAACCAAGAAAAGAATAATGATATCACAACCCCCCATCCGAAAACCGCAATAAACCCGCCCTCTGTCGGAGTTTACGCATCTCCTCATCTTCCCAATCCTTAGTCACATCCCTCATACTACCCACCCATCCCCGTCTAAACCACAAGCCCAACCCTTTCCAAGCCCCCCTGCCCATACCCCAATACGTACATCTCCTTGCCCATTGCCCACTTGCATGCACACGCCATACCCCTCCCTACACACACGGATATCTCTCCTCGCAGTGTTGAGAGCGAGAATATACCGCGGACCCCCCTCCGAGGAATACTATTGTAAAAAGTCGCGTTGGACGTTAATGAAGGCGCCGGGCCCGCCGTCGTCGGCGAGCTCGGCAACGAGGGCTTCGGTTTGTTGGATTAGGCGTTCGAGGGCTGCGGAGGAGGATTTGCCGAGAGAGACTAGGTGGGGGAGTTAGCGTGCATATTCTGAGTGAATGGAAGTGCGAAGAGGGCGTTAGAGGCTTGCCGTCGTTGCATGACCTCCTTCGACCTCAAGTCTTGTACGTACCTAAAATGGCGCTGTTGAGCTCCTCAGCGACAGGCGCACGACCGGATATGTCAAGTAAAGGCGCCAGCGTGCTTTCCCGTGCGTCCGCGTACGCTATAAGCGCGAACGTATCTTCGAGCGCCCGCTTCACTTCCCGCCTTGGGTCGTTCGCGAACTCGGATTTCAGCTCCATGCCATATGCTATAGTTTCGCTTGTCGCGCGTTCGCTCTTTGCTACCTTGTCTTCTATGTCGTCTTCATCTCCGTCTTCCAGCTCGTCGTCTTGGTCCTTGTTGTCCCAGCTGGGTGGTGGGTTGTGTACGCCTAGTTGCTCATCGAGCTCCATCTCGAAATCGTATTCATCTGTCGCGGTCGAGTCACGCTTGTTGATGTTCGAAGTGGCCGACCGTTTGGAAGATGATGTTTGTGCAGATTGGCATTGTGCATTTAACTCTCCGCATCGCCGTATCATCTCGATGAACTTTCGGCAACGGAGTTTGAAGTAGATGTTTTCGTTGTCGCGAAGTACGGAGGGGTAGTATGCAGTGGTGTGCTTAAGCGCCTTGTCAATGTCGCCCTCGAGGATCGCTGTCCGTATTTCTAATTCCTGTTAGCCTGCGTTCGTACCCTGAGGGACGAGCTTACTTTGTCGGTTCAGCGCGTCCAGATCTTCTACTGCTGATCGGTATGAAACGTCTGCCTCGTCGTCATTCGCAAGCGCTCTTGCTTCCTCGACAATCTCATCCGAGAAAGCTCGTGTGGTCTCTACATAGCCGTCGTGCGCCAGATATTGTCCAACCAGCTGATGTATCAACGCATCCTCGCCTCCCAACGCACCCGCCTCTGTTTTGGTCCGGGCGATTTCAGCTTGTATAGCGGCCTTCTCGTCTTGTACCATCTTGTCGATATCGAAAGCGAAAGGTTCTTGACCGAAGTTGACGCGGACCATCTCACCGGGCTTCTTCATGCCTACGGTAGGATAGTACGGCATATTGGGTTTCAGATCTCGGAAAGCCGTCCCTGAACCTGTTAGTTCTACCCATTTTTCTCACTTTGTTTACTTACCTTGCATATGACCATTCTTTGTGAAGAACGCAGTATTTGTCCGAAAGTTGATGCCACAACCGATGACATCCAGTGTGCCAAATTTGGGTCCATATGACTTTCCAGAGGTGGTATTACTGAAGACCTGACCATCATCGCCATGGTACGCATACGAGTCAGGCTCCCAACCCGGTATCCTGCTGAGAGCGACTTTGGGTCCTGAAAAGCCTACTCCGATCATTCTACTGCACCGTGAATTAGCTTGTGTATTACAAGTTGTCAAACATACATACCCGTCCTTCCCCTTAGAAACGACAGTAACCTCATAGTAGTAGATTCCACACTGCCGCGGCATAGGAAAGTCCGCGCGAACCGACGCAGCTTCATCGTGTGTCTTCTGTGTGCCCGAGAACTTGGCCAGCCTCTGACCGTCCTCCAGCTCAAGCTGAGGGAACCTGTCTGAATCATTCCACCGTGTCGGCCATGGCGCTACCGGCTCATCCACAAAGACCGGCGCGCGCTCCACTATCTCATGCGTGAGACCGCGATGTGACGGCGCCATCTTGTGCAGATTGACGCTGCTAGAACTAGTAGACAGCGAGCCTGCGTTGGACGAGTGTGTTGACTTGTGTTCCCGCTGGGCAGCCAGCTTCGCCTTGTGCGCCTCTTGTAACTTCTCGGCGTGCTTGGACCCGCGCAGATATGACGGTACGAAGAACGGAGGTATATCCTGGGTCGACCCTCCCAGGCCATGCCAGTAGCCTGACTGGCTTGAGTATGAGGGCAGTGGCCCACCGGCCCTTCCGAAACTCGTAGACATATGACCGTCGGCGTCGATGGAGCGAGAGAGGCGGTTCGGGTGCGATGTTGAGCCGCTGTTGGCGAGATGTGCAAAGGCGCCAGATCGGGTGGGTTGTTGGAAGGAGCTGTTGCTGCCTGCCGACGCAGCGGCGACTCTGGCGTAGCTGTCCCTTCGAGGGTTCATGGTGAGTGATAGTGGCGCTACCAGCGTGTTCGGTGGTCGTTTGGAAGCGATGGCAAAGGGCAGACACGCAGATTACGCGAGTAGTAATGGTCGAGCGGGCGGTAATAGTCGCTGACGAGGTTTGGAGACGTCCAACAGCGGAGTGACGCGTGGGCTAGCTGTCTATGGCGCCGAGTGAATGCGGTACTCTGTGCTGGAAGGTGCCAACGGCAAGGGCAAGAATCAACGGCACCCGGGCTCCTGTGAAGCGATCGTCACAAATGCATTCATGGTATCATCAGAGGAGGATTTGCTGGAGGAAAGCTAGCGAGGGCGTGCTGTGCAAGTTGTACGTCAATGAGGTCCATGGGCGGAGGTTTGGATGCGCCGAGCTATCGGTGGAGATCCCCGCGATCCACGGGTACGATAACGCCATCCGAGTCACGCTCAACCTTGGACATTCATCATGCTATGTAGCTTCAAAAGTGGGCACTCCATGATACGAAGGCGCGAGAGGATACACACTGTCACGTTGGCGTGTCATCACATAGCATACTGACAATGCTCGTTACCGAGGTACTCCAGATGCATAGACAAGTACTTGTAGTTTGACATGGATATTCAATTCTCTCCATAATGCTATGCAAAACCCCCCTTTCCGTCTCTATCCGGACCCCATATCCGTATCCAGTATTTGTGATGTCCATTTCACAACATGCTTGTGCGCCGTACACCATGCTGCCTGTGGCAAGCCAGTGACGCCCCAGTTGGCGCCTTTTACGTAGTTATGCAATGCGCTCCCTCAACGCCAAACAAGACAAAAGGAAGCAAGGCGATATAGAAAACAGGTAGCAAGAAATGAAGTAATGTCTAGCCGCGGAAAGTGCAGGCTATGGCGGATTACGTGAATGAAAATGAGACCAAGAATGCTCATCGCTCAAGCGGGAATAGGAGCAGGAGAGCTTGCTATGCCATTCATCGGCGTTGGTACGGGTGTGCTGTCGCCGTTCAATCCGCTCTTGTCGCTGATTGCGCTGCTCTCGTCCTTCAGTTTGGACTCACTGGTGCCGGTGCTGTCGCTCTTGACGTCGTCGGCGAAGGCGCCCTTGCGGCCCGGCTGGTATGTAGGCACTTGCCACATGACGCCGGTGAAGCTGCGGACCTGGAAACCCTTCTTCTCCCAGCGACGGCACTTGGCCCCTGACCTGTCGAGGGCACGCAGACGCTCGTTGATGGCTCCCAGGTTTGCCTTGGGGCCTGCCTTGTTGATGGCTGCGGGTGCTGGAAAGGGCCCCTTGGAGTTGGGGTCGTTGATCATGTCGCCCATCTTCTTCCTCTTTGGCCCTGGCTTGGCCTTGGGTTGTTTGGGAGTTGCGCCATTTGCGCCAGCTTCCATCTGCGCAGCACTCCGCTTGCTGCCGGGCTTGGGGCCCTTCCTCTTCGAAGAGGGAGGGGCCAGCGACGACGGTGTGCTTCCGTTCATGTTGGGGGTTGAGTCGGCGGGCGTGGCAGCAGGTGAGGGTTCGTTAATCTGCGGCGCGGGTGTTGGTGGAGAGGGCTTAGCCTCTTCCTTGGGCGGTGTTGCGGGCTGGTGTGGAAACTCTTTCAGAGAGTCTGGTGACAGCTTGAGTGCGACGACGAGTGTCCTTGGTGATTTCGTGGTCATGTTCGCGTGCAGAGGAACGCGGTGGTGATGGACGGAGATGGCTGAAGCGCAGGGGAGCAGAGTTGGTGATGGGGGTTTGGCTTGCAGCGGTGAGGATGATGGACAGTGGCTCTGCCGGTCAGCGCGTTGGCGTGTCGGTGGCTAGGGTGAGCAGCAAGCTGGGTGAGCCGTGCTTCACAGGAAGTCGAGGTATCGTCGAGCTGATAAAGCGCGTCGAAGCAAGCAAAGCGTGGTGAGATGCAGAGGGGGATGGGCAGGGAGAGTGGGTGGTGAAGAAGGTTGCCGCGAGGGCAAAGAAAGGGCTTCGCCGGCCCAGCTGGGGTGGTCGGTTTCCCAGATCATATTGGGCGGGAATCGTCGCTAACGTTTTCTCATTGTATTCCGAGACTCCCAAGAGGAGGAGGGCGCACGGCCCCAGTCACGCTAGCCTGATTTGTGCTCTGGATATCTCACTGTCGCTGCTGGCAGTCAATTATCGCATGTGCATCGCGTTTTCCATTGCATTCGCCTGTCTGTTTTGCCCGCCATGGTGTGCTCGGCATGATGTTGGCGTTCGACTGGCGAGGTCCGTGTGGCATCGAGCTAAATTGCGCGTTCCATGGAGCGGCGGGCGGTGCGGTAGAAGCATCGCGCATCGCCCACCCGGAGTCTGACACCAACGCAACCTTTTCTTCATCCGAGACGCTCAGAGTCTGCAGTCCAACGGACATGGTTCTATACTTGGAATGCCCTTGTTTCTTTGGGGCTTACCGCACTGCGTCGCGCCTCGCATCCTTCCCATGGTCTTCTCTCGCAGGCGCATCGGCTTGCACAGTACCGCTGACTCTCATGCATCGCCCCTGGGCCTGATCACAATCCACAATCAGGGACAACGCCTACCAACCGAGGCCGAATGACGTTTGCTGGACGTGCTGCCGCATCCATCGTAGTCTCAGCCATCCACGATGAAATCTAGACAAGTCGCAGCATTAATGTTGGCTTAGCCTTGACCAGAACAAGTTCACGGTCATCACCTTCAGATCAACGCCAATACAGGTTTCATCGTCGTTTGTGTGATGAAGCGACGCCGCGCCACGCCATCCGAAGTCAATCCGTGCCAATAATTGTGGACTCAATTATGTGCTACCGCCTACCATATGGAGAAACACGGTGCTACATTTTTCTCAACACAATGCGAGGTGGGTACGACACATGCAGTAGGTCCAAATTACAATGTCAAAACAACACGTTGTATTCGCTGGGTCCCTCGGCTTCATCTTGCTCATCAGTCGTGTACCAAGAGAATCTTCGAAAGAAAAAATGTTGGTAACAGATCAATCGCAAGAGAAGCATTATACTGGATTGCGAGTAGTAGATATGATGCGCAACATGCTGGTGGCGAGGGTTCAATCCCTCTCTCCGCGATGTCAATAGATATGGGACTTACACAGTTACCCACAATTAGATTGGACATCTTCAATAGTGGAAGCGAAGTATATGATCAGAGAAAGGACGGCATATCAGAGGAATATGGAGGCGTATTCGCCAACATGGCGTTATAGCCGCAGAGGAGAACAAAGTAGTGATGTATTGGTAAGATTATATCCTTAGTCCTCTTCACCGTGGCGTCTATCGACCACTTGTGCAATTGGCGATGTCTTGAGTTCAAGCACACTCCATACAGTGCTGTCGTCGCAGCGCCCTCTTATCATGCGATGCGTCCCGGCACTTCTTCTTACACAGCTTGGTAGTGACGATGTCAGCAGTCGTCGATTTTCAGATCATCCGGCTCGCCGTCTCTTAGTACCGTTCACTGTAGTACCGTTAGCTCTCCTTACCTCGTCACCACTAACCGCGACCTCATCATCGTTCATCCACTCCTTATTAGCGCCAGGACTGCGGCGTCTGAACTGACCAGCACCCACAGCCACCACCTCGTCCTCACTGTCACTAGCCTCAATATCCAACAACACAGGCATCCTGAACTCTGCGTCGCCAATCGCCGGTCCGAATTCCGTGGCCGAGGTCTTAACAGGGTCTACGGTGAGGACGTCGACTTCTTCGTCTTCTGCATTCAGACGCCGCTTGTGCAGTTCTTCGAGTGGTTGAATGTCGAATTCGTCTTCGCGCTCGATGTATTCTACGTTTTCTTCTACTTCGACGAAGTCGGGGGCGAGGGCCGACCAGCGCTGGGGCTGCAGGATGGACCAGAGCCAGACGCGGCCTGAGTCTACTCCGACGGCGGCGACGAAGGGTCTGAATGGGTGCCACTCGACTACGGAGAGCTCCTCCTTGGTGCCTTCTAGGATCTTGACCAAACTGCCTTGGCCACGCTCCCACACGTAGATGTGGTGGTTCATCCAGGTAGATGCTGTGACGTATTCGCCTGTGGGACTGAATGAGACGTGGTTCCACGAGAGCCTCTGCACAAGATCCTGGAACTTGTGCTCGACTTCCAGCTGCAGTGTGTCAAAGTCCAACTTCGGGTCACTCAGGTCGGGCAGGTGGAGTGTCCTGACAATGCGATCGCTCGAGTTGAGCACGACGTCTCTGCCTGATGGCGTCAGGCGAATGTATACGATGATGTTGTTGGTGACCCGGAACGAGTAGCGGACGGCGTGTGTCTCGGTGTCTATAATGTTCAGCCACCCCTTGTTGGTGCCTGCTATGATGTGTTGGCCAGTCGGTGTAAAGAGTGTCATGGTGGTCGTCTGCTTGGCGTCTTGCGCCGTCTGCTTCTCGGAGGCATTTTCGCGTTCTATGTCGGTTCGATGGGGCGCGGACGAGAGGGAGTGTTTGACGGGGACTTCCTCAGACATGTCGACGATGACGGGCTGGTCTTCGAAGAGGGCGGCTACAAAGAGCATGCTAGACACCAATTAGAAACCCATATTCTTGCGTGATATGTAAGCACTCACTGGTTCTTTGGGTGCAGCTCCGCTATGAAGATGGCCGCTTCAAAGCGGACGGTGCGCACCCGCGAGCCATCCTTCAAGTCCCAGAGCACGCACTTCCAGTCCTGTCCAGCGCTGAGAAGATAGCGATCGTTGGTAGACCAGCTAAGAGACTGGACCTGGCGCGTGTGGCCGCGCAGCTTGCGCGCAACGCCGTTTGTCTCAATGTCGAAGATGACGACGATGCCATCGTGCTGGAATCCAATCAGCGGAAATCACATGCGAGGTCGTAACATTCGCGTACCCGTCCGGATGCAAGCAGATCGCCGCGGTGGCTGAAGCGAATTGACGTCGAGTGGCCGCTGCCTGCGCGTTGTGAGTTGCTGCCTAGTAAGAAAAGTAAGGATGTCACACTCACGTAGGCGGCCGGTGATGACATCGGGGCAGTCCTGCGCGAGGACAAAGGGATCAACCAGCGAGAGATTCATGGTGGTGCACTGCGGAGGGCGGGGAGTGCAGGGGAAGGAACTCAATTGGCAGCATCTTTACAGACGCGACTGGTGAATGAGGTCCATAGGCGCAAAGTGAGCAACCTGGAATCGGCGTGGTGCTGTCCGCGGTGGTCACTGCACGTGAGACTCGGCTAGTGTCAAAGCGGCCGCAACTCTTTGTCGCCTTCCTGCTCTAACAGCACGACGCCCTCACCACCACCCCACCCGCCATCACCAACGGCCGCTCTTACATACCTAGAGCGCGTCTTCCACCTCGCCGACCCCGATAGTGCTCCCCCGAGCGCTTTTAATACGCGCGCACGCCTCCGACCCCGAGGCGCGACCCGGCGAGCCCCCGACCCCCGTCCGCCCTTTTCACGGGTACGACTCTTCGACCGCATCTCTTCCCGCGCGCGGCGCGCAATCAGTCTTTTACCAGGCGCCACAGCTCTCGACTCAGCTACAACGGCAGTCGCACTTACTACTTAATACGCGGAGGAACCGCCCGGCGTGGCCACCGCCGACCGATAGAACGGCCTCCCGCGACTCTCTCACCCGCAAGCCCTTTCAACCATCGCCAAAATGCCTCCCGGCGCCCCACAGGTGTCGAAATGTCCGCTCCGGACGATCAAGGAGATCCAGTTCGGGCTGCTCTCCCCCGAGGAGATCAAGGCCATGAGCGTGGTCCACATCATCTACCCGGAGACCATGGACGAGCAGAAGCAGAAGCCGCGCGAGCAGGGCCTCAACGACCCCAAGCTCGGTACCATTGACCGCATGTACTCGTGCGCGACCTGCAAGGAGGACATCCAGACCTGCCCCGGTCATTTTGGTCACATTGAGCTGCACACACCCGTCTTCCACGTTGGTTTCGTCGTGAAGATCAAGAAGCTGCTTGAGACTGTCTGCCACACCTGTGGTCTGATCAAGGCTGACTTCGTAAGTCTTCCCGCGGAAGACAGAACAGAGACTTCAGATCCTAGATTTTTCATGCTAACTGCGATATCAGAACCATCCTGACTGGGCCGCCGCTGCCAAGACCAAGGATGCAAAGAAGCGCTTCGACAAAATCTGGCGCATGTCCAAGGGCAAGACCGTGTGCATGCAGGATGTAGATGATGGCAGCGACAAGAATAAGCTCCCCAAGATCGCCCACGGTGGCTGCGGCAGCAAACAGCCAGACTCTATCCGCAAGGAGGGTCTCAAGCTGACCGGCACCTGGAAACAGAGCAAGAAGGACGACGACGACGGCCAAGGCGATCGCAAGGAAGTCATCACGCCGAAGCAGGCGCAGACTATCTTCAAGCTCATGTCCGACAACACACTCCAACTGCTCGGTCTGAACGCCGACTACGCTCGCCCCGAATGGATGATTCTCGATGTCCTGCCAGTGCCCCCGCCTCCGGTTCGCCCCAGTATTTCCGTTGACGGTACTGGCCAGGGTATGCGTGGAGAGGACGATTTGACTTACAAGCTTGGAGACATTATCCGCGCCAACGGTCGTGTCGCAGAGTGTCAGCAGGAGGGTTCTCCTGCACACGTAACGGCCGAGTTTGAGGCTCTCGTTCAGTACCACGTCGCCACCTACATGGACAACGACGCCAACGGTGTTCCACAGGCCATGCAGAAGTCTGGCCGACCGCTCAAGACTATCCGTGGTCGCTTGAAGGGCAAGGAGGGTCGTCTTCGTGGTAACTTGATGGGAAAGCGTGTCGACTTCTCCGCACGTACTGTCATCACCGGTGACCCTAACCTGTCACTGGACCAAGTCGGTGTGCCCCGATCTATCGCACGTACCCTGACATACCCCGAGGTTGTCACCAAGTTCAACATCAGCAAGCTGACGAATCTGGTGCGCAACGGTCCTAACCAACACCCTGGTGCCAACTACGTCATCAAGGCCGACGGTGTCCGTCTGGACCTCAAGCACAACAAGAACCTTGACGACCTGCGGTTACAGTACGGCTGGAAGGTCGAGCGCCATATTGACGACG